CGATCGAGACATTTGGCCCGTTGGAGAGCGTCGTCAATTATTTGTGAAGGATATTGTTGTTCGGTTAAAACGTTACAGAGCTGGTCACAATTGCGAGTGCATTCTCTGTTGTCCGAACAAATTCTTTTAAAACAGATAGCTTGGCTATAGGGGATACTTGTTTTGCAATGTTTCATATGGCTGCTTTTAAAATGAAGATATCTTTGTCGGTCACTTGGCTTCCTGTATAGGTTTGTCGTTAGTTTACCATTGCTTAAAGCTACACTGACGTCAAGGGAGTTTATGGTGACTGGTGAATGAGAGTGAGAAAAGGAGATGGATGGTTCTACTTTGTTGAAGTCTGCAATGAAAGAATGTAATGCCGCTTCACCATGGTGCCAAATTAAGAAAATGTCGTCAATGAAGCGTTTGTCATAAAGTGGTTTAAGGTCACGAGTGGCGAGAAAGTTATTTTCTAGAATGCCCATGAAGATGTTCGCATAATTGGGACCTATTTTTGTGCCCATCGAGGTGCCGTTGGTTTGAACATAATGTTCACCGTTAAATTCAAAGTTGTTAAGTTCGAGTATCAGTGTTAAAATAGTGCTTAAGGTGGAATCGTCAATGGGTTTGTCATTTACCGAGTCATTGTATGCTTGGAGTACAGAACGAATCCCGTCCGCATGGGGTATATTTGTGTACAGTGACACCACATCTAGTGTGACCAGAAGAGCCTCACTCGGAACACGCATATTTACAATGTCACGCTGAAAGTGATTAGTGTCCTTGACATACGAAGAAAAGTTGGGAGGAATTGAACTAATTAAGCTGTCTGCATATCGAGACAGGCTTTCCGTAATGGTTCCTATTCCTGAAATTATTGGCTGGCCTGGATTATTTTGTTTATGAATCTTAGGAAGCAGATAAAATCTACCAGCTACCGGACTCAGGGGGACTAAGGATTTAAGCACAGTTTCTAGAATTTTATTTTTTCTTACAAGCTCTTTTAAAGTTTGTTTTACTTTGGTCTTGAATTCCTCGGTTGGGTCGTAGCTGAAATGTCTGTAAAATGTGCGGTCATTTAATTTCTTTTGGGCCTCATGAAAGTAATCGGCCTAATTCATTATTACGATTGCTCCCCCTTTATATATATATATATATATATATATATATATATATATATATATATATATATATATATATATATATATATATATATATACAACACGGAGTGATGCTGTCAAACCCGACTACAGTTGAACATGCGAAGTGGTATAATTCTTGCACGAGTTACCAATGCTTTATTAATTACCGTGCTACGCGCGTTCCAAAAATACATGACGTTCTCCAAGATCAGCTCCTACCCAGGCGCGTAGCCAGAAATTTCTTGTTTGGGGGGGCACCTTTTAGGGGTGAAGCTCTTTAGGGCGTGGGTGTGTCGCTCCTCCGTATGTATGTATGTATGTATGTATGTATGTATGTATGTACGTATGTATGTATGTATGTATGTATGTATGTATGTATGTATGTATGTATGTATGTATGTATGTATGTATGTATTTAGCCACCGGTGGCACATACCCGCTCTGGAGCGGGTATGTGCCACCTGTGCGGGTATGTGCCACAGGGGCTGCGAGATGGCGGTACTTGGAGTGTTCACTAGATGGACGCACGGACGGACGGACAAATTAGCAGACGGACGGACGCGCGGACGTATGGACACACGAATGTACGCGTGGACGGACGGAAGTATGTACGGGCTGATGGACGTACGCTTCTCCCACTCATCATCACTCATTTCGTGGATATGCTGTGAATCTTTTTTTTTGGGGGGGGGCACCCCCTCGATATGTTCATTTTTTACTCGCTATGACGCTTCGGGTTCTAAACAATTAAGAAAGACCGCGAAGGCACATATCAGGGAAGGCACATATCATATTGCAATGCTTTGGGTAAGCATGCTTTGGGTAAGCATTGCGAAACGGGTATTCCATATTCTCAGGCCTACCGGTACCGAAGAATATGCACCGATATGCAGGAATTCGACAGACACGCGGAACACCTAAAGCATTCTTTATTGAAACAAAATTATCCGGAAGACATTATTGACGATGCCATACTACATGCTCGCAACGTGAACAGGAATGATATTATTAAGGGACCAAACAGAGTATCTAAAACGACTTCCCAAACGAACCTTGTACTAACTTACTCCTCATCAGCGCTACGAATCAACAACATAATGTCCCGCCATTTCAACATAATCAGGCAAAGCAAACGACTAACTTCTATCTTCGCGAAGCCACCTCACGTGGTGTACCGCCGGGATAAAAATCTGAAGGACATTCTTGTCAGAGCAAAAACAACCACCCCCAAATTTCAATCAGGGTGCCATCCCTGCGGAAAAGCTCGATGCAAGGTATGCCCCCAGATGGTCACAACACGAGAATCCAAAGCGAACTTCTCGGATTTCAAAGTCTGCATAACTGAAAGCCTTAATTGTGACTCCAGTAACGTAATATACATGCTACATTGCAACATCTGCGGACAAGAATATATCGGCCAAACAGACACGCCATTTCGGCTGCAGTTCAATAATCACCGGTACCACGCCACTTCACTGCCGAAGCTACCTTTAGCTAGACATCTGCGCCTGCCAAACCACAGTTTGGAAAATATCAGCGTAACTCTTTTGCAGTCCGGTTTCTCAAACAGACGCGAGCGCGAACAGCGTGAGGCATATTTTTTTTTCAAATTTCGAACATTAGTAGCCGGCATCAACGAGGACCCCGGTAAACTCAACTGCCTCTGAGAAGTAAGCCAGGAGGAAATTGGTGACAAAGATTGATAGCTGGAGACCATGTTTTTTTCTGACTGACCCGTACGTGTACACTGTCCATTCTTGTTTTGGTTTTTTCTTCATTCATTTTTTCTTTTCTTCCTTTTTCCACATGCACATACAAAGTGTTTTCGTTCACCTACCACTTGATGACCATTGAAGGAAACGGATGAATATTAAAGGTAAAAAGAGCCGACCGACCCATTAACGGGAGACCCTTCCTTTACGCACGCCGCATGCCGACCGACCCATTACGGGGAAACCCTTTCTTTACGCACGCCGTCACGGACCCTCCCGGCACCGCGGCGACAATCTTGGGTGGCCCGACACACGTCGAGAACTGAACAGCACGTTATAAGAAACGTATGTGGACGTACACGGACAGTTGGTTTCGTTCTCAGTGTTGACAGTGGTTCTTCCTCTTTTTTTACTTTCTTTTCTTTCTTTTTCTTTTTTTCTCCCCCCCCCCTTTTTTTCAGTTCCCTCTCACTCTCGAAAACATGTTTCAAGGCGAGAGGGACGCGGCAGCAACGAAGTTTGGAAATTCATGTCAGTATAACTCATCCTCTGATGAAGGGAGGACCCCTCCCGAAACTGTTGGGAAATAAATATATTTATCTTTGTTGACAACGCTCCCGTGGTGCCATATCCCACACCTATATATATATATATATATATATATATATATATATATATATATATATATATATATATATATATATATATATATATATATATATATATATATATATATATATATATATATATATATATATATAAGGGAAAGAAGTGTATACCTAAGGGCTCGTTTTTTCCGTGTTTCTAACACAATATTAATGAGATATAACAGACAGTAATGCCAAGGAATGTACAGGGGAAGGTATTAAAATCAATGGAATGTAAATAAGAAGAAAGAAAAGTGGATGAAAAAATTACCAACTGTGAGCAGGAATCGAACCTACGATTCTAGGTTCGATTCCTGCTCACAGTTGGTAATTTTTTCATCCACTTTTCTTTCTTCTTATTTACATTCCATTGATTTTAATACCTTCCCCTGTACATTCCTTGGCATTACTGTCTGTTAGATCTCATATATATATATATATATATATATATATATATATATATATATATATATATATATAACAGACAGTAATGCCAAGGAATGTACAGGGGAAGTTATTAGAACCAGTGGAATGTAAATAAGAAGAAAGAAAAGTGGATGAAAAAATATATGTAATGTGTATATATATATATACATTACATTGTTGAGAGTGTAAGCTGTACACGCCGAAATTCAATCAATGCACTGTTTTGTACCAGCATAGGAATTCGAAAACGCGTCTGATGATTGAGTCATGTATGGCAAGTCGATCGATAATACCGGTAAATCCTGCATGATCCTACAGTCGATAAACTTTCTTACAGATGAAATCAAATGCCTTAAAGTTATCTTTCACGTAGAGCACCACGAGCGCAGATTGATTGGCTTGTATATTGCATGGGCATGCGCAGATAAGTTCGTGCCTTCTTTCTTTTTCACCGTTGTGAGCTTCTTCAGCTGTTATGGCTTGTGGTGTCCTGAATTCTTTCTTTTGACTGCACTTTCTACACGCAGTTCACGCCCAGAACACCTATTGTTCAAGAAAGTGTCGTGCAAGTGCCGTGCCAGTTGCTCTACTGCAGTGCCTCGTCTAGTATTAATGCAGCACGACACTAGCGGTTTCGGTGCAGCGGTCAGATCGAGTGCATAGGTGTTTTGTGGCCAGATCATTTACCTAGCGAGACGACAAGTCGCGGGAAAACTAGTTTTTCCTTCCTCCATGGCCAAAGTGCAGCACTCTTGAACTAGTGCAGAAAGTGCGGCCAAATCGAGAAGCCTTCTGTATCTCTTATTATTAATACGTACCGACTAGCCTAGTTCTCCGTATTATTCTACTCCACGGAGGAAGGAAACCTTTCCTTTTTCCGTGTTCTACTTTAAGAAGGCTCGCCCTCCATAGATATAGAGGCTAGAAGAACTTTTCTAGCCTCTATAGCATAGAGCGGAGTAATCTTGCCTGTAGTAAGATGGCGGCTGCTATATTAGGTAGGCACCGACAGGCACGGCTTTATTCTGGCAGTGACGTAATGACGTTTTAGCAACCATTCCCCAATCCCCTTTCATCAGAGGAGGCGCAGGTGTTCTGTGGCCGGGGCGCCGGGCTCCGCTGCCGGTTTTTCAGCACGAAAGTACATGCGTGCTGAAAGCTTGATCGCGTACGGCATGATGTCGTCGGATGCGGAGCAAGAGCCGCGTTCCAGCGACAGCCTGTCCCGATCGTCGAGCCCAGCTACTGGAAGCTCGCACGAACGGGTACAGTGAAAGGAAGCCCGTCGCGGCAAGACAGGCGCCGCTCTTCTCGCAACCTCCTGGATACCTCGTACGCACCTAAAGTGCTGCGCAAGACGAGCGATTGCCTTGTCAGCCAGGAGCCGTCGTCGCACTGCAATGAGTCTAAAGTGCTGGTGCTCTACAGCGGTGGCACTAATTGGCATGGTTCGAGACTGCGAAGGAGGAGGTAAGGGTTCGATCATTGGCTCCGCCAAGGGATCCAATCACGTTAAAGAAACTCGATACGAATCGGGCTCGATCGCGATCGGGGCCTGTGCGGATCGAATTTTTTTATCGCTATCTGGTCACCGGTCTTAATTGGTCCAAACTAATCAGAATCGTGTTTAGCGCTGGCGTAAGCCAAATCGCTATTAAAATATACCATGTGGCAGTGACCCGGATCGAGCCGAATCGGAATAGGCCCTGATCACGATCGAAAGCAAGCCACCATATCGAAAGTGCCCGTGTGACATCGGTGTGCTCATTACCCGCGCTTCTGTTGCCATTAAAATGATCAATTTTTTTTTGGGGGGGGGGGGGGTGTGAGGGGGGAATTAGTTTTTTCAAAAACAGAAGACCAAATACTGATGTTTCTTAACATATCCGAAATTTTGTTCTGTTAGTTCACATTCTGTTTTAAATTGCCACATCATCTCCATGTTAATATACTTTCTCCTGTTACGGTATTGTATACCTCTTGGATTCTATTTTGTTTGTTGCCCTTGTGATAGGCAATTTCCAAGTAGATATTTCCAAGTAGATTATAGTACGTCCTGATAACCGATGCAACAGTGTAGCTTTATTTCATATCTCTTCTTGCAGTTCTGCGGCCAATGCCTCAGGTAATGGAGAATCGGCTGCGCACATTTCCTCAATTGCATGATGCTGAGTATTCAAGCACACGGTTCACGGACCCAAACAAGCCGCCCTTGGTGCTGCCGTAAGTTGCGTGACCTTAACAGTCATGCTGTCATGCGCGTACTTATATACTGGGGAACATATCTAGGTCACATGTGTGGCTGGCACATCCCATTGCAGATTGAACGTCGTATGCTGTTATCCACGTGTAAAGCAGGATAATTAAATTATACATGTATCGGAATAAAAAGATGCGAACAGCACAGCACGTACATACTCCGCTCTTTGCCTTTCTTTTTGAGTGGTTATAAGCTGGCTGAAAATAAAACAGTCATCAATGATACCATCAGGAACGATTCTAGCATCACTTTATTGCCGCAAAGGCAAAAGTGTGATGGAAGCAAATATGAACAGTGGAGCGCTAATGCACTGCATTGTTCACATGTCTTTTGATTGCTCATAAAAAAAAAAATACTTTCTATCAGAAGAACCTGTGGTGTTTAGTGATTCTTATTTTAACACCAAAAGAGCTGTAACCTTGTGTTCAACAAGTTTTAAACTTGAGGTATCATGATGTAGCTCATCATTATTGGGGAGTCCCTCTATATTTGTCGTTTGATAAGGAGATCATTCCTGGGCAGCTGCAAAATGTTTGTGCATACTGTGAGGACACTGAGGAACTAAAAATTAGCGCCAGGAAAAATAAGCTTTCTCGTATGAGAATGAACTGTGGAAGTCACACTCCCCAATTTTTCGTGCCAACGATTCTGAACAAATATGAAAGATACAGTCCCGTACTCACCATAACAATCAAAGAACACAAAAGACATTTTGTAAGGTGCAATTGTCTAAGGTTTCTTGTTTTTGTGTGTATTGAATACCGGCAGAGTAGTACTTCATTTTTTTTTCTTGCAACTTGCATAGTTATATTTTTTATTTATTTATTTCATTAAACCTTACACCGTTATGTGCAGTGTATTCAATTTTGCTAGGTGACTGTGCTTAGTTTGTCTGCCATGTATGTCGCATGAATGTATTTCTGTTGGGCCTCAGTTGCACTCAAGCTACAGTTATGTAGCTTTTGGTGTGGGGCCCCTTCCCCCTTTTGGTTGGGAAAAATAAAGACAATTGCTTATTTTTATTAACACAACTGAGTACCTACCACCGCTACAATACAACTTGATTCTTGGAGCACACTCTGGGAGCGCAATAAGAAACTCCTATGGTCAAGCAGCAAGTAAAGGACGCGCGTAAGACTTTGCAGCTCGTGATAAGGCAATCCCAGGTTTCTTTATGGTTGCTTCACGCTTTTGCTGGTTCATCTGTCCTGTGCAGCTCTTGATAAGCGCTTAACTGTACTGGGGTGGTTGGCATTTTCTTTTATGTTTATTAGAACGGATTCTTGGGAGATAAGCATACCTCATCTCACAGTTGAAAGTGAAATGACACTCTTATCTATCAACAGGTCACACCATCACATTTTATCTACTGGGGCACCTGATTGTAAGAAGTTTCGCGTTGCAAGAGAGAGAGAGAAAAAGGGAACTCTGTTGGAATTTTTCCGTTGGTCAGCTTTGCCAGCCCTATCTACTAACTTGTTTGAAAATTGCATTCCATGTTCTTTGTGTATGAGCAAGATTTACGTGACAGGAAGCTTACTTTCGGACTGTGTATATACATGCCTCTATTGCAAAACGTATCACTTGTGAGCCAGACTTTTTCCTGTGTTGCTGCAAGACACCTTGGCAGGAAATAAAAAGTGCCAGCAAATCGCTGAAATGAAAAAAAAAAAATATTCTGGCCCCACCATGGAGGCTTTGTTCACAAGGAACCTTTGTCAGCGATTTGTCGGCACTGAACCGTAATTTTTCTCGCCTGGAAGCATTTTCGTCTATCCTTGAATTTGGTGTCAGACACATTTTACGAACTATAGCATTCTAGTATATACAACTAACCATGTAAACAGACCTATGTAATCTCGTTCAAAGCACATAGCTTGAAATAGATAAGTAGTAAGAGTATATTCATATTCGTCGACTCGGGCAAGGCTTAGGTGTGTTTGGTTAGTGCTGAAATGCGTATACTGCGTGAGCTGCTCGACTCTTGTCTACTCCATACTGCCTGGTAAGTGCTTTCCTGCAAGGCTCGGATGGTTAGTGGAGAGTTCGACTTAGGGTATGTCGCCACACTTTAAAATGGCGTACTTTTTTTCAAAGGAGCAGATTTTTTATTTTGGATATTATAAGAATGTAAAGACATTTGTAATCATAAAACCAAGAAAATTATGTCTTGACATGGTCTTATTCAAAAGGTACGGTCTTTTTGATAACGGCCCTCAAGCCAACATTATGTTTTGCAAGAATAATTCTTGCTTTTTGGAAAGTTCACTTTCAGATGTTTTTCTTTGTGCAAAGCTTGTAACATTTAAGGAATATTTTTCAATCATGCTTTCTATGATTCTTTCTTAGACATTAGCCTGTGCAGTGAACTAGGATAATAAAAATATCTGAAATATTTCAGTTTAAATGTAACCACCTGATAATATGCAAATTTTTTAGTTTTTTGACTATACAACACATATTAAGATATTACAAAGGTCCTAGTTCATAACAGAGCCTTTATATGCACCTACAGTACCGTCAAGTCATTTTTCTTTCTTATGGTAGGATCAGATGTTATGACTGCTGGTGTGACGGGCATATAATGGATAATATTGGTAATTAACTTTTATCTTGTTTAAACATTTTTCACGTAACACACTTGAAGGTTTAAAACAGCCACTCTGAAGGCAGGCACAAATCAATCAGCTTTAGGATCAAAACTTAAAAATATTTCTATAAGCACGGCCTTTGTGGCCTTTGAAAATTGGCTTGCAAGTTGTACAGCGTTTATGTTTAAACCAGTTGCCATTTTATTGAGAGGAAACTCTTGTTTTGGTTTCTTCAGTTGTACAGGGGATCCCAATCGTGTCGTGTACACCATCTATGAGTACGACCCACTGCTTGATTCGTCAAATGCCACCATGGACGACTGGATCCGTATTGCACTTGATATTCGGGTGAGTCCCGTCACTGTTGGTTTTCGACACCACGCTCGTGCTGAGTGACAAATCTTTGTATACAGAAACATGATCAAACTCTGATGATAAGATGTATTAATTCTGATAAGATGATAAGAAATGCAGTGATGCATTACTTTGGCAAACCTGGTTGATGTGCCACAGTTCAGCATTGTCAGCCCTCCTTTTAGGGCTGACAATGCTGAAAAACGAGCATAAAAAAAAATTGATGCTCGTTCTGATTGGTATCTCAACATTTTTTGTTATTTTTTGGTAGAGCTGGCTTTTTTTTTATATTGTTTCACAGTCTTTCGAACTTCTTGCATTGGGCTTAGTGCTTTTATTATGGTGAATATCAGATTAGGCAAATTTGTTAATGCTGAAAGATGATGCATAGATACTGATTCGCAATATTCTGCTAGCTACATGTGAATAACTAACAAGAGAGAGACTACAAAGAGAAGAGAAATGATAAACGAACCAAACCAGGGGGATATGACCATATTAGCACCAAAAGAAAACAAGAAAGCATTCACAAATCATTTTTATCAAGCAATGGACAATGAATCTAAATGATCTCTCGGATGCAGACTTACATGTGACCATCACTGTGTCATTACTTTTGGACTGAAGCACAGCTGTTGTAGCTCTCCGTTTATTTGAGCCATGTTGGGCAAATCAGTCATCGCCTTAACATTTGTTTATGTGAGCACTGTTACATTGTCAAGAACTGGGCTGGTGGTTTTTTAGCAATACATGGTAAGAAGTGTGGCAGCATTCTGTTGTTGTACACATGCAGAATCGTTAACAAAAATAGAAATCAGCTGACTGAGGCACAAGAGATCGAGCAGGTGGGGAAATTTGTGTAAGCATGCCGTTGATTCCTCTGACAAAGAAATATTCTTATTTCCTGGGTGCGACTGTGCCATTTTTAAAGCGTCATCCCTTAGTGGTTTCAAAATAATGCAGATTAGGGGGTGCTGTAAGTAGCTTCGGTGTTGAAACAATAAATTTGTTGGAAGTAGTGCCTGTGTGTCCATATGTGTGCTTTTTTCTCGTACTAGTCTTTTATGTGATTTTGTTCTTTGCAAAAGCAGTGAAGTAATCACACAACGGATTAGTCAGTATAATAAATTATGATGTGTAAGATCCCAAAATTGCTCACAGGGTTTTGAAGAGTGCCCTTGGCTTCAATATGGGGTTTATCGATTGAATGCAGAGTAATGGGTGTTCTTACTCCTCTTGGATTGAAATTCTGTGCTATGGGTCGGGGTTTACCTTCCGACCTCACACTCAACTGCTCAAGACCACGCTGCAACCGATGTTGTACATCGTTTAAAGCTACTGTGTAGATGCCTCGACAAAAATTTTCATATGTTCACATCTGTGCCATGCAAGTATTCCTGCAAAGACCAATTATTCAATAAAGTATGTATCACTTTGGGATCAGGAAAGTGGGCAATGTTCACTTTAACGAGCATACATGTAAGCTTTTTTCGCGACTGTGTACTCATCTATGGTGAGACATTTTTTTGACAAACAGCCAATGTTCAGCTAATAGAAGCGTGCTTTGAGTGCGATCACTTTTTTTTTTTGCTATGCCAGTGAAGAAAGGACAGTGACCTTTTAAGCTAATTTGTAAATTGCTTTAAATTAGGAAATATAAATTTGGCTTAAATTCCCATCAAAGCTATGCAGAGACAAGCAGGTCTGCTATGCAGAAAGGCTGCTTTGCCTACCTGCTTCAAAGTTTGGGGCACTTGAAGTGACAGTATTTGCCTGTCATTTTTTTTTTTGACACGTAAGTGTTTTATGCCGGGGTCCACCACAGCTGCGTGATGTATTTCCGTCATGGATATAACTTCATGAAATATTTAGTAACAGATTTAAAAAGAAAAAGAAGTTCCGCAGCGCACGACGCTGACCACTATGCCACAGAAAGAAGTTTCTCCAGCATGTTAATGGTGAGCCATTTATATACACCATGTACCGCTGGCGGTCCTCAGAGCTCGAAAACTTCAGCGCATTGCCATCATCAGTAGCGAGATGGCACAACGGGTGCGCATTGGGTGCACACATTCTAGAGGTCGTCGTGCCGCGCCATCCTGCGCGTCGGTGTGCGCGTGCCTCTTTACATAGCGGGGTCAAAGTGCGTATAAATGTTCTCTAGAATAGTGGCTCGCTTATGCGTGCGCTTATCTTGTAATTCGGGCAATTTCTACCTCTTCTGCTTCAATCACAAGTTTGCTTTGAAGTTACAGTAGTTAAAGAGAGCACGAACGTCATTTTGCCGCAGCTGCATTTACGAAAGAAGCGCGCTGCTCACCCAAAAAGTAAGAATTGTGACCGTTGTTCACGCTCATTCTGTGTATATATGTGGGTTCATTTAGTGCGTCTTTCACTCTGTTTAAGCAGTGTGCACAGTTGTTTGTCCGCGCTGGTTCTGTGTATGCTCATTTCGTGAGTGTTTTCTGTTTGAGGTGTGCCCTGTATGTATCGAGGTGCATGCCATTCTTGGTGTGACATTGCAATTTATTATTTTTATTGATTCCTTCACCCTTGTGGTAAAACAATGCACAATTAATGCTCAACTACCTCTGCGAGGACACAATTCACTTTCGTGTATTACGGTTCTTTTTTTTTTCTCCAATTCCTACAGGCATGTTACGAACAGTTCGACGGCTTTGTTGTGTTGCATGGAACTGACACGATGGCTTACACAGCGTCTGCCCTATCCTTCATGCTCGAGAACCTTGGCAAGTCTGTCATCATCACAGGTTCACAGGCAAGTTCCTTGCAACACATTTTAATTCTACATGTCTGCTCCAGGAAATTGCAAGCTCTTTTTCAGTGCCATTGCTCTGTACCATAGCAATTCAAAAATTAAGAGTACTTTAGGATGATATCTGCTGCGTTTTGAAGATCTGGATTAGATCTGCTACTTGCTTAGACTGTTGCACCCAGGTATTTCACTGTCGCATAGGTGTAAGAGCCTATTCAAAGTGGACTACTTATCCACTCACTGTGATAAAAAATTCCAACCTATAACTTCAGATCGAATTCTTTTTACAGCTTGTGTTTTCCTAAATCACAAGGAGAGGGTAAACATGGCTTGTAAGCACTAAAACTCGTTAATTTAAAAAAAAAGCATAGTTTTGCTAATGGTATTGAAACCTGCAGCTATTCTTTCGCACGTAAAGCGTAATTGAAGTCTCGTAAAATTGGTATTTTAGCCACAACTTAGATCTACATATCTGACAAGTACGAGCTGAAACTAAAACATTTCAGAATTGAGCTGAAAATTGCAGCGTTCTACGTATTGCATATCTATCTAGTTGTCTCATAATATGCACTCTCTCTTGAATGCTTTTTTCCTATTGTCTCTGGAAACAATAAAGAGGCAGCTTTGTCTTCTTGTAGAGTAGTTGGCCTGCAAAAAAGATTATTGAATATTTGTAGTCGGCATGAAAAGCTGCGCAGGTATATTTAGTTTCATTAGTTTCTGTCATAAATTAGGGCTATCAAATCTTCACGAGCCATGTCAGCCCTTAACAACTTATTAGCCCAGAGTGTCAAATAATTGTTAACTGTGTTGTGAAGTTGCTCCTAAATAACAAGTTTGTATGCTGAATATTTTGAAGATCTGTTTGTTTAACAACATCATTACGTTTTCTATAAATAACATTAGTTATTCTCGTATCTTAGCACATGTGAGTGCAAAAGGCTTTCTTTTTTTTTTTACTTGTCATCTGTTTGTTGCCGCCCTATGCCTTAACAGCAGTAGGTACAGAGTAAAAATGCATTAATTTGAGGTGATTGGAACCGTTAAAATCTTGTAATTGTGCAAGTTTTCAAGTTAACGGCACGTGCAACAAATGGTACTCAGGTAAGTTTGGATTGCTTAATGTGATCAAAGATGCTGGTCTGCTATGCTAAGTACATCAAATGGTACTGTGTTGTCAAATGGTCGGGATCGCCACATCAAATGGTCGGGATTGCCACAAATTCCTGATCCCCATGTTGGTGTAAATGCGAGGAAACGGCAGCCCTGTGGAGTGATGCCACGTGACGGTATTCACAGGCAAAGCACATCCTCCTAGTTGCTGCCAGCTAAAAGCCACTTCCGTGACATGAAAGCTGCCGTCCCTTTTGCCAGGCATTGTATCACTTTGCTCCTAAGTTTTGTCAAAGTTTCACTAAGGATTTTTTTGTTGGTTCCTTGTTCTTCATAGTAAGCTATGTGGAATCCCATGCGAACATGTGCTCATTTGTGGCAGCGCTGGAACGTAAGCAGTGCTGCAAACACTGCTGCTTTGCATGGTGTTCCACTGTGGTTGTGTATAGCATTCCACTGGGCTGAATCGGTGACAATTTCAGTCACCCTTCATTTCCTCTCTGTGGATGATAATGTTTCCCAGGCTCCTTGTCACTGGTCATGCGAATGTTTCAATGAAGCCAGGGCTGCATTGGTGCAGGGTCCACAAAAACACCGTCGCTCTTATAAAAACAGAAAAACAAAACAAAAAATAATTGTAATTTCAAATGCACTTTCATAGAAGACTTGTTTCATTGCAGCACAGAAGTGACACACACATACTGTTTCAAGAATTCCTTTCATTGTCCTAGTGCTACGATGCGACCCTTCACGGATTTTTCCTGGGACAAAAAAAAAAAAAGGACAATAACGATCAACCTGTACGGAGTTCACTATGCGTTTTGGCTGGAGAAAATGATAATTTAAAAAGTATGTGATGCAGGCAAGTTCTCCTCCAGCAGCATGAATTGCATGCTAGAGCAGCTGCTAATTGGAGGCCGGCATACATCACAAATGCCATGAGACAACCCTTTCTTTTTTATTTTCCTGAAAGAAGGGAGTTGCACACTGCTTGCTTGTGACTGCTGCGTTGCTGTGCATCACTGCAGCTGTGCATTTGAGTCATCTGTGAGGCATACCACAGAACTTTAAACTGTCTCTCATCTTCTTATTTTTATGCTGGCAGCAACACAGATAGGGTGCTTGTCCCACAAATCATTAGTGTTGCTACTTGGCATTGCCTTGTGGCTCCAAAGGGCTACTGTTTTAACACGTTTGCAACAAGTTCAGCGATATATTACCCACTATAGTGCCATATAGTACCCAATAGTTTTCAAGATGTGGTACTGTATCGGAAAAAATATATCCAGCCAAGGAAATAATGAACACAGGAAAGGAAGAAGGAGACAGGAAAGCGGGTTCGTTTCCTGTGTTCGTTATTTTATTGGCAGGATATGTTTTTCTGATGTGATGTACCAACTAGCCCAATAACAAGTGTGGTACTGTCTGCAGCTTCTGGCCCTTGCAGCTCAAGGCATTGCATACCATCAAATCTAAGAGCACTCTTTTGAACTAATGAGCTTTAATTCACAAATAAGTAATGCTGCCATAATGACACTTGTTTCTTATGCACTTGTTTGCATTTTGAGTCCAGCCATATCTACAAGTGTATTGAGGCACGGGCCCTTACATGTTGCAAAAGTTCTTGCAGTCGGCCACTGAATATATAGCATGTAGATGTGACTGGCTCTGACCCCTGCTCATTTTCTTTCACTCTTCATGACAGACTGACATAGCTCCTGTCATGGCACGGCTCTTTAGTGACCCTGCTTCAGTGACAGAAAAGTAGACGTGAAAGTTACTTGTCAAGCTGCCTCATGTTTGCATCAAGACTTGTGGGAGCACAGTCTCTGTTTATTGCCTATGTTATTGTCACAGCTGCATGCGAGACAACACTGGCTGCTGGGGATTTAGGCGAATGCCTCGATTAGTGGGGGTACTAGGTACCATCCTGCACGAGACACTCCTTTATTTTGCACTTCGTTCTAAAGCTTTTTTTTTTAATATTCTGATGGACTGTTCAGTGCTAGTTGGCATGCAGCCTCAGAATAATGTTAAAAAAAAATAAGATACGAGCCATGTATGGTTAGTGTGGCAAGCAGCTGTGCAATGACTCGAGATGGGAAAAAAATGCAACAGGCTTCATGGCAGCAGTTAACAAACTTTATTGTTATTATTTTTATTATTTTTTCATACAACTGATTGCTGGATATGAGAGTGCTTAGCTGAAATACATTCCTTTACTATTGTTCACCTTTTTAAAACATCAGGTCATTCTGTCATGTGTGCTTTTATTTCTTTTTATCATTTGGTGAGATTATGATTGAACAAACACACAGAAGAGCAAAAACACATTAAAGGTTAGACATTTCAGCTGGTCAGTTGAATGTCTTGTCGTAAGTTCACTTGTTTCCTGAACGATTTCATTGACAAATAATGGTTGTTTTTTTGCACAATCTTGCTACTCATGTCATTGCATGTGTGCCGTATAGGCATGTAGGCTAGACATTGTGTGGTTGCATAAAATTTGACATTGTGTGCCACAGGGAGGCTGTGTAAACCACAGGGACGCTGAAAGCTGAACAATTTGACTAGGCTACTCGTCTGCATGGCTGGGTTAATTCATTAAGACTTTCACAAGGCTCCAACAAAAAAAAAAAATGGTATATTTCCCAACGTTTCGGAACCAATTCGATTCCTTTTTCAGGGGGAGTCACTGCAGAGATGTAGAGGTGCAAGTTTTCTTGACTTAATTCACGGACCAGCTGGGGAGACCGTTTGACCTGCTTTTCTTGGTGAGGCTAGTCTACGAACGCAAACTGATCGCAAGTTTCCTTTGCAACGGTTCGAAATGTTTGCAGTGTTTAGGATGTACCATGATTCTAGTATTGGCCGTTTTTGTTGGTTAGTTTTTGTTGTCAGGATGACGTATTTTTTCCCCGAAGGCAACGTATCTGGAGGTCTGCATATCTGGAGTGTTCCGCAAGGGGTTTAAATTGTCTTGCGATCATCCTCACATAATTTCTGTGCTGCCTAATTGTTTTGGTCAAGTGTTCCTTTTTTTTACAGCGAAAGCTGTTATGAGATCACAGCTCTGGTCACGCGCAGTTCCATGTTGTCCGCCACCACTGCCGCCGGTGTCTGTAACCACATCGCGCGAAATTAGAAAAAAAACCTTGCACCAATGACACAGTGGGGCTCGAACCCGGGTCCGCTGGGTGCCAGCCCAATATTCTACCACTGAGTTCGCCGGGACTTGTAACTTGTTGTCAAACTTGCTTTAGGCAGGCATGACCTAGCACCAATGGCACAGTGGGGCTTGAACCCGGGTCCGCTGGTGCCAGCCCAGTATTCTACGACTGAGCTACTCCGGAGCTTGTCACTTGTTGTCAAACTTGCCTTAGGCAGGCTTGATGTCAGGAAAGCAATCGCGTTAATATGACTTATAAAGCGTTTTACATCAGTGAAAGAACAACCAGTCGTCGCACAATGCGATTACCGTAACGAGTGGGCCGTCCAATGCTCCTACCCATTACAAAAGCTTGTTCTTGTCTATTAACCGTGGCGCATACCCATTTCAGCCATAATTCCTCATCGTCTTTCTTGGGGACCTTCGACGAAAAAATTTTGGTCTGTCTGTCTGTCTGTCTGTCTATACATTTGTCTGTCCGCGCTAACGATACCTCAAACGGCACCAAACGGCCAACCCCATCCGCAGCGCCCACCAATATTGCTCAATGTTTAGCGTTCATAGTTGTGCGATTGTCAATTAAAAAGCAATTATTGCACACATCTGAGGCGCCACAACAATGCTACGATGTTTTCTATGTCTGCCTTTATACTAAAACAGGCACACACAAGTAGCTCTAAGGAATGTAGCGTTTAATTACGCTGCGCTGACAGTGCAAGGCGATGCTCAAAAAGGTGTTTTCAACGCTTTGCTACGACGTCACGGTGGTGGCACCTGCCCGTCGCTTTGCGTTCTACACCTTATCACCTCCGAGACTGGCGCGCATCTTTCTCCATGGGCTCAACGCATTCGTTTTCGAAGATAACTGCCACACGGCACTTGTGTCTAACGTGCCTAGATGCGCTCGTTCGCCTCTGCTGCACGCTCGAGGCACTCTAACGCAGTGCCTGCAGATCTTCTTTTTGGAGTTTGGTGAAAAAAAATGTTACTTTATTTCCTTCTGTCCGATTGCAATGTGCAGTGCATTTCCATTCTTCTTATTAAAGTATTCACTACTGATGCAATGTGAATTGCAGGGTGATTTGAATTGAAGTGCAGGTAGCGACCTCTGTGAGTAGGTCTGTAGTTGACAGAAAGACTTGGAAAGTCTTCTGTTCACCTGATTAATAAATCAAAGAATGGAAGGAATCAATTTTTTTTGCACTCACAAATGAACTGAATGTCCGGTTTTATGTAGTTTATGTGGCTGAATAGGAGGTGGCTTGCAATTTCTTTATAATGCATAAACAATCATTCACGTACCTAAGGAAGACTTCCAATTTTGGTGCAGAAGTGCAGAGGGCTCTGTAATCATTGCTTTGCATGGTGTCATTGGCCATGGTCACTGAGATTGAGGCTCCCATTGGTGCTCTTTTTATCTGCCTGTAGCATTCGTCTTTAAAGAAAAAATACGTATTTGATCGGCAGAATTTCAGGAATTGACAGGTGCCATTTACTTTTGACGGAGTTCTCTCGTTCAGATAACTGTTGCGTCTTGGGTCACGGCAGCTGCAAGATGTATGGGTATGCTGGTGAATAGAGGTACGACATCGAAGGAGACGAGGCACTCATCATTCTCTTGTCGTAGCTCAGATGTCAACACGACAAAGTCCCCCACGTTGTGCACATGAGACATTTCGGTCAGCAGTGAAATGAGCCGGTGTAGGCGCATGGACAGTGATTCACTGTTGGGCGCAGGGGGACTCCAGATTTGTGAACTTTCGGCAGGCCGTAGAATGCTGGTGCTGACCTGTTGCTGCACATTGGGACCTTTCCTTTTCTCTCCTTCCAGTGTTTTACACCAGCACAACATCCACATGATTCAGATATAATATTGTTCAGTTTTTTGGGTGTTTAGCCCTGTGAGCAAGATACTCGGATTCTGTGGGTACTAGTGCAATACCTGCCAGTGCTCTTCCTTTTGAATTTATCTTAGTTTATACAGCAATTCACCTGGTGGGCAAGTTTCCTTGTTAGGTTGGCATAGAAATGAGGTGGGCCACCTTGAAATTGAAAGGTGCTGTCAACATATGGCTGTGTGTTATACTTTGTTTTCATTGGATGGTAATGTCCGACGCTCTGAAGATTATTCACTTGCGTATAATTATTTGACATTAACTCTAAAACAACATAAATAGCTTGAATGACGCACATCTCATCGATCAACTTCGTGAGATAGCATGACAATCTTTTTTTTAATGTTGCCAAGATATTATCCTGGACATGTGCAGTGTGGACTGAGATGCAGTAAAGCAAGATTTGCTGTAGTCTTGGCAGCTCTTGTGATCAAGCGCTTCATTGTCTTCCCTCTTTGACCTCTGCTGTGCTGAACGAACTAAATGCGTACCATTGCTGCTACACTTTTGTCTCGATACGAGCTATTTTACTTAAGAATCTCGTGTGTAAGAGAAAGGCTTGTGAATTGAAACCCAGGTCTCATCTTTATATTGTACAAAGACTTGTCACTACTACCTATTGCAGGCTTGTTTGATTGTTCGAGTGCTTTGAATATTCCAATAATATTACAGTATTCAAATTCACTTTTATATAAGTTTTAATTATTGGAAATTTTGAAGTAATCCAAAGGGACAAATAGGTGCATATGAGGCTGCATGTGACAGTTTTGTAAAATGGTTTAACTGCAGTGTAGGTCTGTTATGCCGTGAAAACACTTATTCAAGGAAAATCTGCACTGTCACGAAGCCTATCATCAAGGTTAAATTAACATATTACTCATAGGTTATTTGTTTTTAAGTTTAAAAGCTTGTTATGCCAGCTTATATGCCCTAAGTATAGCAGATTCTAAAATTTTAGGTGCTCTACAGGATATCACTTGCATGCATTCTACCGAACTTAAAATTCTTGCTGCTATTAAGTTGTTTCCATTTCCTTTGAAACAAAAAAAGGGCATTTGCACATGCCTTTTTTTCACTTTGTAAAAAATATTGTACAGGTTAATTGGGTCATGACAATATTCCCAGTTTTTTATGTGATCTATACTATTCGAAATTATTCTAACAAATCACTATTCACTTTGAATTCGCTTTGAACCTGAAATTTATTATTCACACAAGTCTAACTTGTTGGGATGAACTTGGAAGGCTTGCCATTTTTTGGGCGTGTTGGTAAACGGAACTCAAAAACATATTGAGTGCTAACAGACAGGGACGTAAGAAAGATGACGACACGATGCACTAAATTCAACAATTTTATTTCCAGGAAATACCAACCTATTTATCTGTTTCCTGGAAATAAAATTGAAGTTAGCACATTGTGCTGTTGTCTCTCTTACGTCCCTGTCTGTTAGCGCTCAGCATGTTTTTAAGTTAGAAGATTTGATGTAGTGTCCAGAGGCAGCTCAAACTTGTAGGCTTGTCAGTGTGTTTAAGCACAAACAGTTGTATTGCTTATGGGTAAGTATCTATGCTCAAGCGAACTCTGCTATGATTTATCCAGATTCCAATATTTGAACCGAGAAGTGATGGACGGGAGAACTTGCTCAACTCGCTCATCATAGCTGGCAACTACGTCATTCCAGAGGTGAGATTCTTTTCAAGTTATTAATGCACCACACTCATTTTTCCTGTGTCATGGTATTTGTTTAGTTTGCTGCCACCAATGAGCATTATATTTCAACCCTATTATCAAGTTGATTGATAGATATGTGGGGTTTAACGTCCCAAAATCACCATATTATTATGAGAGACACCGTAGTGGAGAATTCCGGAAATTTTGACCACCTGGGGTTCTTTAACGTGCACACAAATCTGAGCACACGGGCCTACAACATTTCCGCCTTCATCAGAAATGCAGCCGCCGCAGCCGGGATACGAACCCGCGACCTCAGTGTCAGCAGCCGAGTCCCTTAGCCACTACACCACTGCGGCGGGGCCCCACTATCAAGTTAGAGGTGTCAGAAAATGGGTAGATTTGTGGACGAAAAAAGCAAGCACACGGGGACAAGCGTTGACTTCCAACTAATGATACAGTAAACTTCCACTACAACAAAATTGACGGGACACGCAAAAAGAATTCGTTGTCACGGAATTTCGTTGTAGCGAAATTTCATCTATTGACGACAAAATTTGGTAAGATCTGATTGTTGGGACTCATCCTTTGGTCCCACTGAGCGCATTGAACTCTTGCCAACTCGGACGTACCTGGCCGCACACCAAGTGAACGCGTTTTCTCGCTTGTAACGCGATCAAATATAAGAAAAATTTGGAGTTGAATAGGAGTGCAAGTTATAAGAGAATTTTGGTGCGCAAGTTGGCTTCACGGCACGCCTTCACGGTAATGCAAGGAAGGCAGCCTTGCGCCAATACACGCGTACTCTCTAGGGCTTGTTGTTGCTGTATGCCAGACGACATATCTTTTAGCGAGGACTGGCTGAGAAGAGCAGCTCTGTCTTCTTCTTTTCTCAGCTAGTTCTTTCTTTCCCTCCTGTTTAGCACTAAAAATTGTGACGCTGGTACTTATTTCTTTCTCCTGCAAATTGGTGGTGCCGGTTATATGCAGGGGCGGGTTATACATGTAGAAAACACAATACCCAAGTGACCCTTGCAGCGTGCAGAATGCGTAGGGCCGGAAACGATTGTTTCAATGCTTCGCTAGATACCAACTGAACACTGCAACTGAAAATGCCGAAGCACCGTACTACCATAGCAATACGCGAACAACAGGAAAAGCATAAAGCTTCGAACCGTTTGACAGGTTAATTGTGTTTAATCTACTGCTGTGTTAGTTGTGCACCTTCGCAGCGTATTGCTTACCGATAGCCCCGCCGCAGTGATCTGGTGGCTAAAGTACTGTAAGGCTGCTGATCCTGCAGGTCGTGGGTAACAAAGCCCGGCAAAGGGTAGTTTTGTTTTCAATCTGTGCACGCTGGTCCGTGCACGTGCCTTCAGAACTACGATGTTTTTATCTTTGGCCGCATATATTTGACGCGGTTTTCTACGCAGCATTGTGGCAAGCAGCACTATTAGGTCGAGTCCGTGCGCATCGGAGGCACGCGTACTTTCGTGGTCACCCGTGATCGTGTCAATAAGACTGCATTTGTGTTCAAGCGGTTGCAGCAAAGTGTGGTTATGCTTGGACTAGCTGCTCACTGGCCGCTGTTTGCGTCTTCATTATGCCGTAAACATCAGTTCGCGATCACAGGACTAATGCCGATGAGTGGCAGTTTTGTTTTGAACAGACGTCAAGAACATGGGGGGAGTTCATGAAGAATGATTTTGCCACAGCCTGCACATGCATGAAACCCACCAGCAGCTTCATGGTGCATGGGCGGTCTGTCGCCGAGCATTTGAATGGTGAAAAATTGTAGGCTGATCCCTCTTTCTAAGAACCGGTAAAACACGAAAGTGAAACATGCCCTAGGAGGCAGTTGAGCGTTTATTGTGCATGGTTTCGCCACAAGGCCCAAGGAATGAATGCTACAGCAACAAATTGCAAAGTCACGTGAAGAACAGCAAGCGACAAAGCTCGAAAGTACGAGCACACACTTCAAGCAAAAAGCACACACGAAATGAGCATACACAGGATGAGTGCGGACTAACAACTGTCACAGCTTGAGACTGGAAGCACATTGTATAAACAGAAAGGTGCATAAAGCAAGCGCACAAGAAATCACAGGTAAAGCGTGAACAACTCACAATTCTTACTTCTTCGTGTGTGAACAGCATGTTCCTTTCATAAATTGGGTTGTGGCAGCTAGGAAAGTGACCTTTACACTCTCTCGAAACACAAGTCTGATAAGCGCGCATGCAGGAGCGATTACGCTCCATGGGAGCGGTGCTCACTGCATGCGCGCTGTGGTGTAGTGGTTCACGCTGCGCGCTGCCGTTCGTGAGGTCGCTGGTTCAATGCCCCGTGGCAGAGCTTTTGCATATCGTCTTTTTCTTTGCAATCAGTTGTGTATATTCTAGAATTTCTTACAGAGATGCAGAAATAAAAGAGACGCAGTCTGCTATTTTCTGGTTTAGGTGAATTCCACCCAGCCAATGTCTTTCCTGCCAGGCAGCTGACCGAAAGTGTATTTATGCCTAATGACTGATTGGTGCTAGCAACTCTCGGCCTTCCATGGCAGTCTCATCGGTCTTTTACCCATGCTGTGGTGGGTGTGCACCTTATGACATACACAGATCTTAGCTTTTCAACATGAATATCTGTACATTACCATGTGCCAAGTTAGGTTACTCGTCTGCCTGCTAGAAAAATGGCCAGCACTAGGGATTGAACTCAGTATCTCCTGCATGTGAAATGTATGCTATTCTATTTTGCCACCCTGTAGTGTTAAGAACGACTTGACCTATTAAGAAACACGAGAGCCAACGTTTTATTGAGCTCAGAACACAATTTCTAGACTGTATTAGCGTGTGTAGAATTTTCTTGTCTTGCTGAGTGTGTTGTGTTGGTGAGACATAAGTGTTCATGTAAAAATGCCCATAATTCCTGAAACGAAATGGAAGGTTTTCTACTGAAGGTCTTCTCCTCCACTCAGGGGGGTCAGTGAGGCGCACTTCACAGGACATGAGCCAGCAACACTGAGAACTAGAACCGTTTTTAATTCATGACTCAAGGAAATCACAACCGACCTTCTGAACCAGCACAACACGGCACTAACACAGACAGGAAGACCAAAAGCCCGGAATGAACAATGCCCGCAGACTAGTGGTCAATGGAACATACGGTGCGAAACATAGGGGCAGGAAAACTGGCGCGAAACTTAATGGCAGGAAAGCAAACTCGCATGCAACTCGCAGTGGAATGCGAACCATCAACTCATCTTAGCTGACGGCTTGAATCGGCGTGGCCTCTTGGTCTGCCGCACTCGGGAAGGAAAAACCTCGCGCCTAGCACGGCCATTCTCGCATCCCATTCCCTAGCCTCCCAAAAAGCCAATGCGCTGGTCTCACCCTCTTCTTATCGGCTATCCACTTTTGTGCACCTTGTGGCTCGACGCTGATGCTCGTCACGAGCATGGGCAATGTGCGTGTGTTCTCTTCACCCTGCGTGCTGCAGATAAGGGCCCGTTGGCCCGACAGTATATATAGGCATGCAAGGTGACTTACTGGGCTTATTTGTGAGATCAAGGACGAGTAAGCAAGTGCAATCAGCAAGCCAACTCGGATGGCTAGGAAATCATGCACAAGTAAACCCTGCCTAGTCATTTGAAGCCCAATCATTAGAAACACATATGCTCTGATTCTGTAACTTTATCACCCTGTCAGTAATAATAACAATAATAAGAATAATAATAAAAACATGTGAAAATCACTGCTTGCCCTCTACTTTGGCTTTTGTTCACTGGTGGTGTAGATCACCAACCAGCCTAGTCAGCCTTCTTACCATGATTGATTGGTTCAATTGTAAGTTGCCTGGGAGAATTAAACCCTGAATTTCGGTTTTTCGTGCCCGCACTTTCAGGCAACTTCATTGCCTTCCCCAAAGCTGATGAATCACTATACCTGTTGTACTTGCCCAGGTCACGCTGATGTTCAACAACAAGCTGTTTCGTGGCAACCGGACAAGTAAGGCTAGCATCAATGAGCTTGACGCTTTCTCCTCCCCCAACCTGCCTCCCCTGGCCACCATTGGTGTCAAGATAAAAGGTACCAATCCTATCTGGCAGCGAGTCTCATATTAGTACACTTCCATGGTACACATTGAGCATAAACTGTAGACACGGAGCTGCACTGACAGAATGCACTTACATGAAGTCTGTGACGAGGCTCTAATGTTGCCAAACCTGAAACAGAGCATGTAGGGAAGCGTGTTTCAGCTCCACTAACATAACTGGCTTGGAATGCATCTTCTTCCCTGCACGCCCAGTTTCAGTTACCTATGGCATGCAGGTGATGCAGCTTCACGAACGTTGTCAGCTACTTGTTGGGTGTACTGTTGCCGTCTTCATTTTCAGCGGATCAGAGGAGAGTTGTAGGATTCACCCAACTTTTTTGGCGCATGCGCATTTATAATGGACCATGACAACATGACACACTGTGACGATATTACACAGCGACAAGCCGAGACCCTAAGGCGATTTGCACCTTGTACACTTAGCTTTATTTAAAATATTCTGCATCAGAATGTGCTTTCATTTACGGTGTGTTTAGGAAAAAATGCCACTAGGGCGGTTTTATCTGAGTGCATCGTGATCTCAATCAGCCGTGGCTTTATCGCAGCATCTTGGTTAACGCAACGTCTATTTGTCCGAAAGACCCATCTTGATGTGGCAGTCACTTGCGAGTGCATTTCCTTTTTTTTTCTGTTTTGCATCAAAATAAATTACGTTGATGACGATCTATAGGGTGTCACCACAAACATTGAAGGGAAAAACAAGACACCACATATTGCTCACTAGACTGGTGGGCTTTTACTGTAGTACTTTTGGCACAAATATAGTCAGGTGTTTGGTTAAGAAGTAGATAATGTTTTTCCAATTTTTATTGGTATGGGTCCTATGTTTGTGTTGTTAGTTCTCTGGTGCCATTTTTGTTCATGTCGGCCTCCAGGAATCAAGACGGACGGTGCTTCCATACAAACTGACCAGCTAGCTCTTTCGAAGAAGCCACTTACGTGAGCCGTATGTGTCTCTATAATCACTAACATTTATTAATTCTACTTTCATTGTCGAGATCGTAATAATGTTTGTTTTCACATTTAGGTGCACATACAAAAGATCTTATACGCTTACTAGTAAGACAAATATGTTTCTATTTGAGTGGTCAGGTATCATCTGCCCATTGAGATGCTCAGTTGCCCCAACAACGAAAGAACTTCAAAAGTCATTGCTTTCTCAGGATTCATTTTCACAGTTTGGATACGTGGGGGGGGGTCAGTGACAGGGAAATGGAGGGGCAACACAAATCACGCCCCCTAGTTTTTGTAGTAGAAAAAGAGAAAAAGCAAAGTGAAAAATTTCCCGGGCTTACAGTACACCTCAATGCAGTATTACAGGCCCGAGCCTCTGCTCGGGCAGTTCACTTAACAGCACAAAAAGCATCACCATGGGTTGCATCGCTCATTTTCAGAGAGAGAACATGAACATAAGAACGCATGGAATGTGTTGTGATTCTGCTCTGCACTGTGAGAGGCAGACACGGCAGTACTGCTTGCACTCTTGTCACCTTCTTGCCATCCATGCTTTTGAGAGGCATTGTGCCCATTGAGGTGTTCTGGAAAACAACCTTTGTGAAGCTGTCCATATTGTTGTTTACCGTGAGTATTACTAAAAAGGAAGCGAACATGAAGTCGTGTTTAACGTGGTATTTGTCCTCGTGTGCTGCTCGCAGGAGATGCTGGTTTTGCAAGCGCATGTGGTGGGTGTCTCCCTGAACACTCTGCCACGTTTCTATGTGCAGTGTCACTGTGTGCTTTTTGTTGTTGATGCAGTCAACTGGAAAGCTGTCTTCCAGCAGAACACCATGGAGAAGTTTCGTGTGCACTCCAAGCTGAATCGCAACGTCGGCCTCCTCCGTCTCTTCCCCAGTATTACCGTTGAAGTGGTACGTGTGGGTCTCGTTTTGATGAGTGCATGAAGGAGAAAAAAACTTGCCCTGTGAATGGCAGAGTGGGAGAACTTCTGGCTTTGTGCATCACTGCCGAGATAGGCCTTACAAGGGCCCTTAAACCAGCTAAAGGCAGAAAGTTAGTTGTGTTGTTGACGTGATGCAAGAGTCTACAGCAAATGCATAGCCGCGAGAATTTTTCCGAGTGGTGTTTTAAGCAGTAAGTTCGAGAGGTGGGCAAGGTACAAACATTGCATGTTGCATCAATTCAGCGCAAACAAGACGGAGCACAAGAAGAGAAGGACACAATATGAACATTTTCTAACAACTGAAGTTTATTCAAGGGAAAACTGAATGTAATGAGAACTAACACATCGGTGCACAAAAAATTCAGGTGACGTCAAAGAAGTGATTGAGCTTGCTTACCTCTTAATCTAGTAAACAAACATACGGTTCAGATGAGGGTTCCTTATGAAAAAAAAAAGGGCAATAACTAGATATCTGAGCCATCCATTGCTTACTGAATTGCAAAATATGCAAGCTCAACTGTTTTTTTAAAGTCCTAGAAATTTTATATGTATGCATGTGTTGGTTTTTGTTGCATTCAGTTTTTTTTCAGTTATTAAAATTATTAAAATAAATATCGTGCCCTTCTCTTTCGTGCTCCTCTTTGTTTGTGCTGACATGGTGCTTCTTGAAACAGTGTGCAGGGCGAGTTGGTTTTTAGCTTCCTTATTTACAGCATGTATGACACCGCAGAGAAAAAGGAACAGGGAGTGCTAAAAATGTCAGTGTGGGAACTTGATATTAAAGGGCATTGTGACAATGGAAAACTACAAAGAGCTGAGCTAGTGGCAAAAAATTTATCCTAAAAGACAGGGCGTGCAAACACAGACACAAGAAAGAATTTGGGCACCACAAACGCTGATTAACAACTGAGGTGGAAAGGAAAGAAGGCACGAAAACTTATTAGCAGGCAATAAACAAACCAGTTCATCTGGCACAGGGTGGGGGATTCTGTAGAGGACAGGCCCATAGCCAGGTAAAGCGCCTTAGCCACCCTCTCCTGTTCTACTGTGGCGTTTTACTGTGAATAAATAATGAAAATAGGTGTTTTCAAGGCCTCCAACAACAGAGAAATGCAGCACATTCAGTACCAAGCATCATTAATTCTCATTATGAAGTAGGCTATATTGTGCGTAAAGTGAGGTATTGGAAGTATTATCTTAAAGGAGCACTGACATCAAACTTCAAGATCAAGACGTGCCCATCACTCGATCGCTTGGTATGCATAGGTCCTCTTAGCCAAATTTGGACGGCATCCATTGAGTGGAAGTTATTTTAATTCGATGTGAAACAGCGTAGAAAAACTAAGGAGAAAAAATGGAAAGTAGACTGCCCTGCGACATTGACACTGGTGCTATGTGTTTGGTGTGATACATTCCAAAAATACCATCCTGAGTGACGATGCCCTAGTAGCAATGACGTGTATGATCAGAGTGTTCTTATTGTGGCGCCGACTGGTGCCGAAGCGCAGAAACGCCCTCGCTCGTCGCGTCTGATTTTCATCACAACGGTTTGAATGATTTCGTGAAATTATAAAAATAAAAACCACCTTTAAAAGAATGGCGAAAGAAAAGAGCATGATTAAACGTATGCTTGTCGGTCAGCATGTCGGGGAAGCGTTGTGGGTTGCAGGTCAGTCTAGTTCGGAGCACAGAAAAAGCGCAACGAGGGTGTCTTTTCATATCACATATGTGTTACACATAAACACGACCAGAAGCTATCAAAATTGGAACAGCGTATAATCAGATATCATTGCTAACAAGCAACACGCAGGTATCGTTGAATTTTAGTTCAGCTGTAGACTGCGTAATATTGTATTAACCGTGAGAGGCTGGATAGGTGGGGCCATTTGGAGGGGCGAAAAAGAACCTGCAAGCACGAAACTTGTCTCTATTTCTTCGTTGATACTCATTCGCGATAGCTATATTGCATTGACCCCTCTGCGTATACCTGAATGCTTTGCACGCCAAAACACACCAATATAGGTAACTAACTGAGACACACGAGTGAACATGGCTGAAGCGTGCATCCTCGGGCAACTCGGCAGTGTTGCTTGGAACAGCGTCCATTTCGGAATCACTGTTCTGCAAAAGGTCGATCGAAGCAAAAATAATTCGCAAGGTCGCGAATCGCGGGGATTCCATGCTCCAGACTATCGTATTGGACCTGAGTCGACACTTTGTACGGCGACGACAGCAATGCAGGTGACAAGGCATGACTGAATGTGTCCGCCTAGCAGATGAAATGTTTGCGGAGCAACTGAGCCTGACATCACTCTTTTCTGTGGAGAAGTGGTCAGGTGTGAAGTGATCTGGAGGTGACCGCGAGGTAACGCCACTGCTGGTGCTCCCAGCGCTAAAAATGGCGGGATTGCCGGCCGTTTTGGATAGTGCTAGATACCAGTGATATAAATTTATAAAAATGATGGTTATTCATCCCTCAGTTGCGTTTTATGTAGTGAATCGCTGCTACGGGGTCTACAGCTACTCGCTGACACAAAAATCTTGGCATGAGTAAATTTGATGTCAGTGCTTGTTTAAGCCATGTCATGCAATGCTTTCTATTGGAGATGAAAAATTGGGTGCCGACTCTATCGCATATTTCATTCCTTTGAGGAGAGAATGAAAACACTAATGTACAACCTTGGTGGGGCAATATTTTCTTGGAATTTTGGCATCTGTTGTAGTGAAGTTGTTTAGGTGCATATGTGCTGTAGTTGATTATCATGTTATTGCAGCACTATTGTGTGAAATCTTTTAACCTGAACATTTTTCGGTTTTCCGCATAATTCAGCCACAAAGCTGTAGTGGCTGTGACTGTACTTGTATGTATTTTGTGTTGCATAAGTGCATGCTGTGAAATGATGAGGTTTCAAGGGAAACTGAAATATTTGTGTTATTCTGGCCTCCAGGTGCGCGCCTTCCTTATGCCACCCGTGCAGGGAGTTGTGTTACAGACCTACGGTGCTGGCAACGGCCCAACCGCGCGTGCAGATCTGCTGGATGAAATCCGTCGTGCCTCATTGAGAGGCATCCTCATAGTCAACTGTTCACAGTGCACACAGGGTTCCATCGATGCGGCCTATGCGACAGGCAATGTGAGTACTGGATGGTTCACTCAGGGCTGGACTTTGCTGTGTAGCACTCACAGTTCGTGGAGCATGCATACCACTTTTTGTGCACTTTAGTGTCTGGCAGATGAACAGAGTTCATGCTAATTTGTAATTTGGCAGAAAATTATGTCCGACAGCTTTTCACATGCCGTAACTCTGATGATACCCCATAGTCCTGACTTGATAATTAGCACTTTTGTGTAATCTTTGCAGTATGTGTGCAGTAGTGCTTTGCAGGCAATAGTTTGCTGCTAGTGGAATCACTGTGAATGATTTACTGAATGTGGACCACTTGGCTAGTGGAACCACTTCGTCATGACTGCCACATTAATACAGCTGCTGAATACCCTTAGTTTACTGGCATAACCAGGGCCATAACTAGGAGGGGAGTTGAGGGGTTTTGTGACACACCCCGAAATATTTTTATGCTTTAACTTTTTTCAGGTGATACTAAAACATTTTCATGCCTTCATATCGACCACTAGTTGCCAAAGCTACTCATTCTACACATTAACATCTACAGAAAAAGATTCCTGTGTACGGCCCTGAGTCTCACCATGTTTTTCCTGCCCATACTGGCTCTACATCCATCTTGACCTTGGCATTGACTTATCATCATAGCGTTGTACCTCACACTTTAGGCAAGATAGTGTAGGGGTACACTTTGAAAAAAAAAAAAAAAGCTCGTCAGCCTAGATAAAGAGGACGATTGATTCATTGATATGTGGGGTTTAACGTCTCAAAACAACCATATGATTATGAGAGACACCGTAGTGGAGGGCTCCGGAAATTTCAACCACCTTGGGTTCTTTAACGTGCACCCAAATCTGACCACATGGGCCTATATCATTTTCGCCTCCATCGAAAATGCTGCCGCTGCAGCCGGGATTCCATCCCGCGACCTGCGGGTCAGCAGCCGAGTACCTTAGCCACTAGATCACCGCTGCGGGGGATAAAGAGGACGGGGAGGTGCAGATAATTGTGTTGTTTGGCTGAGAGCATCGTTCCAAAACGTTTTTCTTCAATGTTACAGTGTATTGTCACATTGATTCAGTGTTAGTCGCATTGACACATTACCTGAAATGTTTTCTGTTGGAATGTTTTGTGGTAGTATAGTTCATTTGAGTGAAGCTCCTGCCAGTGGTGCAGAATTAGGTACTACGTATACAGTGCAGTCAATTTAGGCCCATAGCAAGAAGGAGGTGCTCCAGGGCACTCCCCTCCCTCAAAATTCGGATGTTGGGGGGACATTTTACTGATAATAAATAATGAATACAGAGGTTCTTCAATGCCTTCAACAAGTGCCTCTTTGGAAAAAATTTCTGGCTATGGGTCTGACTCAGTTTGCTGATAGATTGTATAACAGGAATTAAGCCTCAAGAGGCTGGCCAATGTTTCGATTGTGGCATCCCTGACGTGTTGGTTTCAAGCTGGTCAGTTGTTGATGCCATGTGTTGTTGATCACTGGCACTACTTTCCATCAGAAAAAGAAAACAAAGGTCATTTTTGGTGCCATAGTTCTCTGGCGCTGCTGGTGTCCATAACCACTATTGTGCGAAATAAAAAAAACTAACTAAATAAAAACACAAGACAGATTGGGATTCAAACTTGGACCCCCTTAGTGCTAGCCCAGTACTCTACCACTGACCTACGCTAGTGGTTGAAACTCTGTCACTAAGTGACCCTAGGCAGGCTTCATCTCGGGTAAGGAAAATCATTAGCATGAGCAATACAGCTCTTTAGAACACCAAAGGAACAACCAGGTGCCACACAATGCGGATTGTGTAATAAGGGGGTTGCCGAATGCTCTGACCCATCAAAAAAGCCTCAGGCATAAGTCTTCATCATCGTCAGTCCCAGTATCAACAAAATGCACATATTTTCCTGCGAGTGTGTAGTGGGTACTGTTAGGAATTTGCTGTGTCGCGATGGTAACGGTGGCGAAGAGCGGCGAGCAGTCGAGCGGACTTCGCTGAAGCCTTAGCCCGAAGGCGAAGCAGGGAGGCAATCCGTTTTGAAAACAGCAACAAAAGGAGCGTTTACTGTAGCAGGTTGTCGTTTGTACAGAGCCAGCCAGCACGACAACGTCGGCTGGGGCAAAATCTTCTAACATGGGGCCGGCACGGCCTTAAATAGCGTTTTGGGACTCTTCTGCGAGACCAGTTCCCCGGAACGGCACAGTGGCTCGGCTGAGGAGACGCAGCCATACCCGGAACTGCAAGGTGGTTCGGCGGAGGAAGCGACGTTATCCCCGGAACTGCACGGTTCTTCTGCACGGAAGGCGGCGCTGGGAGGGGGGGAGACAGTTCGTCGGAACAGGGCTCGATCTCGTGAGACGTGCTCCCGAACGAGGAACATGTCTGTGGCACAACAGTACCAAACTTCTTCGAATGGCATAATGAATGCCTCCGTACTACAGAAAAATTATGATTTATGGTGCATTGGGCATCTGCAAGTGTGTTTGTAGCAGTTACCCACAGAGTGTTTAAAAAAGGCTCTTAAAAAGCCACTCTTCCAGCTTTTACTGTGACTGTGTTGGGCATTCTGCGCAGGCCCGGTGGTCTTTTTCCATAAATTTTTTCTTCATCACATCTTGTCCCTAACTAACCTGCTGAAAAACCAACACACCTAACAAAGTGGCTGACTGGGCTATTTGGTTTAGCATATTTAAGGTTCAACAGTGCAAAAAAACATCCTTTTCCTGTCCGCAATGTATTTTTTTGCGCTGTTAAACCTTAAGTAAGCAACACACCTAAGATTACCAGCACGAAGTTGCCAGATGCTGCTGAGCTAACGACCAAGTAATTATCCCAAAAGAAGCCCAACAAAAATGTGCACAAGAAGCAGAAGTGTAATAGATTTTCCCATTTATAAAAGATTCTTTAATTATAATAAATTATTGCTCAAATATAACGAGGAGGTAAAAAATAACATTAACTCTTTGATACAGCAACATATGTACAACTATGACCAAAATCACATGTGTACTCTTTAACATATAGTAGACTCTCGTTAAATGGAATTTGAAGGGACTAGGAAAATGTGTTGAGTTTAACAAGAGTTCCATTTACTGAGATATGAACTGGGTTGCAGTATTCAGGTACAATATCAATCATATTAGAGGCAGTTCAGTTCGGTTTAGCAGATTCCCATTTACTAAGAGTCCCAGGGTGGCCTTCTTAATAATGCCTGTTTGGCAGTACATGAATAATGTTTGTTGAGTGTGTTTGATTACAACACTAAGCTACACAAGGGCACAGAAAAACACTGTATTTATGTACGTGAGAAACTGTAAAGTAACTATGTTTGCAGAAAAAACACAGATAAGTCCAAAAAACATGACAAGCGACTGAAAAATTTAACAGGCAACTAGGTGAAAAAAAGTCCGTCTGCTTATTATAAGCAAAACTAGCTACTCTGATTACCAGGCTTTCCTGACGAAACCAAGTTCCTTTATTGAAATGTTGGCGTGCCTATCCCTGTTCCGAAAATTCATCTGTGGGCCTTTACTGTGGGGTCAGTTTTTAATGGTGGACTTTCCTTCCCACAGGCTCTTTGTGCAGCTGGTGTCATTCCCGGTTCAGACATGACACCCGAAGCGGCCCTCACCAAGTTGAGCTATGTACTGAGCAAGACGGAATGGTCGTATGCTACTAAAAAGGAGGTGTGTAATTGGCCATCGCTCCTAACTCTCTCACTTGAGGGCAGGCTGACCTGTCATATTGCTTCTGTGGTCTTGAATTCTGAAATATTTTCGCTCATATGTTACTGAGGCCATGCTGTTTTAGTGCCCACATGCATAATATTGAAGCTATCGTGTAATTATATGTAAGAGGTGTTGTAATAAGGGCTTTTACCTTGTGTGCATACTTTCTAACGTTGCCATGTTGCCAAAATGCATATTTATCAGCGTTTTAGCTCCTTATACGTAAATATTTACATTGATACAGCTGCCCAAACGACTAAATGGTGATGTTAACTGCATTGAAACAATATTTAATCTAGATTAGATTGAATCAACACTACATCAACATCGCAAGAGAACTTTTTAACATGTGCAGTATCTTGTCATTAACAAAGGGGTGTAAAAGTACTGGGTTACTAGACGATGGGGTTGACATTTGTGACGCTTCATGCAACCATTGTCATGGACACTTTTGTTTTTGCCTGTTCTTGAGACAAAAGAAACTTATTACAAAGGCAGCTCATTCGTAATTATGCCGCTACAAGACATTTACTGCAGAAGTACAACGCACAATGTTTATGCAATAACAATCTTGTGCTTGCCGGGCTCATCTTGGCCCCGCTAGATGGCGGCACTTCTCCCATCTGTGGAAGGGCCTCGCACGTTTACGGCTTGCTTCAGTATGCTAGGTCATCCTAGCTTCGTCGATCAGGCTGGAACAAGGTGATCGCTTGCACTTTGTCTTATTTTGACTTGATGGCTGGAGTCTTGCAAAGCAGATATCGCGAGTAGCCATGAACGAAAATGGATCCAAAAGATAGGGCCGCAAACGTAAAGCCTATCCTCACGGTAGTTTATGTGCGGTAAAACTCTACATTCCGAAAAGGCCTATCCATGCATAGATTGCTCTCGGTATTCGGCAACATAGTAATGTAAAGAAGTATAGTATATGTACAATTTAAAGTTCCCTAATTACTTCCAATGTATTTCCTAACATAGCTGTTCTATGAATATACAGTAGGCTCTCAGTAAACGGAACCTAAAGGGACCGGCAAAATATGTTCCATTTAACAGGAGTTCCGTTTACTGAGAGGTTAACATGGGTGCAGAATACAAGTCCGAAACCAAGTATTGCAGAGGCAATAGTTCCGTTTAAGCAGTAGTTCCGATTAACAGATTTCCGTTTACTGAGAGTCTACTGTATTGCACACTGGGCCTTCTGTCACTACTGAATGCAGAGAAGGCTCTTCATATTTATTCAATTTAAAAAATAATAGTCAATTAGTGTACTTCGTTGAAACATTAAAGCATGACCACTTGTCTGTTTGTTACCTTTGCCAGTATGTAATCGTATACAGTTGAACCCCTTTATAAGAGACCTGCACTGGGAATAATTCTTGTTTTTTATATGAGGTGTCTTTTATGAGAAGGGTATGACATATGCATTTTTTATCAACACTTATTTCACTGTAGGCGCACTGGTGTCTCTTATATCAGTGTCTTTCACAGAGGGGTTCAATTGTAGTGAGTTCACTAACTCCTATCAATGCTAATGATCACTGCTTACGTGCAGCAGGTGGAGTGATGTTATTGCAACTTGAACTTCATTCTGGCGGCGCGGATGGCAAAAAAGCACCTGAAGTATCTGTCTGATTGCCATCACAATAATAGAATTTTTGGTTGCATGTGCCGAAGCACCAATCGGCGTTCTGCAATCAAGAAGAGACATCACCAATATTTGGTCCCTGTTGTTGGCTTGAGCTGTGCCACATATTTTCTCTCTAGTGGTGACAAATCATGGTGTTTTGCTGAAGGCTTGTCTGTCCAGGCACTTCGTGGTTTGCATAAAAGTAAATAGTGCCATGTACAGCTGTGTCCACGTCTGTGTATAGCACGTGAGCAAGTGGCCTTGCTCTGTGGCGCAACACCTTGCAGCGGTTGTGGACACTGATGTGGTGTGCCCAGGAGCAGGCACAGACTAATAGGCATGCTGACCTGCTTTGCACGAGTGACATCGTTGAAAGGTGCACTTGTTCAACCGAAGAAGCACGCTCCCTGAGGGAGCTTTCAAATTCTAGATTCCAAAAGAGTCGCGTTTCAAATGATAAAACGCCATCTTTTGGGATCTAAAATCTGAAGGCACCCTGAGGGAGTGTGCTTTTTTGGTTGAACGAGCGCACTTTTCAACGATGTCACTCGTGCAAAGCAGGTCAGCATGCCTATTAGACTTGAAAAATTGAATTGCTGCACAAACTTGAAGAAAAAAAACACAAGAGAGACAGGAAAGAGCGCAGTTTTTGCGCTCTTTCCTGCGCTCTTTCCTGTCTGCGCTCTTTCCTGTCTCTCTTGTGTTTTTTTCTTCAAGTTTGTGCAGCAATTCAATTTTTCAAGTATGAACCAACTAGTCTGCAAAAAAGTATTGCTTCAGCCTATTAGACTGTGCCTGCTCCTGGGCACACCACATCAGTGTCCACAACCCCCGCAAGGTATGGCGCCATAAAGCAAGGCCACCCGCTCACGTGCTATACACATTATGATTCCAAAGAAGTCAGTGTAAGCAGTGCTCAGTGTTCCCACACTAGAGGAATGAATTAATGAATAATAATTTCACCAGTGAAAGAAGGGGACAAGGGTGCTGCCAGGCAACTGAGACAGGCAACAAAGGTCCCCAGTAGCCACCTACCAGTCCCTTAGGCTCATACCATATCTGGGAGACCATTGCTTTACTCCGAAATCCTTAACTTTGGCACATGTCCTGTAAATAATTTTATTTCGCTTTACTGTGCAGTTTGAGGATGGGTGGTTATAAGGTAAAATTAAACTCATCCTCTTTTTTTTTTGCCTTTGCTGATATTTTTCAAGGCACCCTACTTGCATAATAAAGGTGTTTTTGTCTGGATGCTATTTCATCACAAAACTGTACTAATCTTGTGGCATTTGCTGTGGCTGCTCTGCATAGCATTGCAACGTCATGTTTGCATTTATGCAGCAGCAGTGTTCTCTTGATTGCTGTGATTTCGGCCAGTGCAGATGCTGCAGGCCAGTCTGAGGGGAGAATTAACTGTGGCAAAGCCAAGCAAGCTGGATGACTTGGATCTGATCACCGCCATTGCAAGGACCATGAACATCTCATCACCTGAGGTACTTGTTCAGAATACTCTGCTGAAGGGAAGATATGCGAAAAAGATATCTCTTTTAAGGTGACTTATTCCATCATGAGAGCTTGGCAATTGCGGTTATTTTGAACATGTGGCTTTAGTCAACTCCTCATGCGAAATGCTAGGGTAAGTAGCCAGGTGACATTTTCCAGGAGACTTTAGACAACGAGATGTTTTTATTTTTTAGTAGCTACTTTGCGCACTTTTAAAGGACTCTTACTTCGAGCTCATTGCAATCTTCAGTTTTTTTTATCGTGAAAGTAGAACTAATTACTTGTCAAAGCAAATAAAAATGAAAAATATGTAGGTAATTTTCGGGAAGAGGAGTTGTGTATTTTTTACTTAAGAAGCTGTTACAAAATAGTAAGGACTGGTGTATAATCAGACAGACAAGTCAACTGTGGCACGAGCTCACAGTTTCTGTGTATTCTGTCTGACTTTGAAAATTCGACATTGGAGCTGAGGCACGAGTTGGAAGGAATGATGTCACTGAACAATTTTTACAACCCCAAGCAATGCACAGGGAGTATGGCATTGTATCACACGTTAGGGGTCACCACCATTTGGGTACTCATGCTAACGTCTAGGCACGAAGAAGACGTAGAATTCAGGATGATGTCCATGCTGCCCACAGTGTATCTCGTCTCTTTTGTGCCTAGATGTTTGCACAGGTATGATGGTCATCATTTGGGATTCCCTTTTATGCAATGGAAAGGTCGTTTTACCTATGGCATAGTTATTCCTTGAATTGGCTGCTTTGATTGCTCTGCTTAGTTATGCTGCGCTGTGTGCCTCACCGAGTCCTTGCAATTTCGTGACCTTCCATGGAGGCACCTTGTAAATGAACTCCTACTCGTGAATTAAAGGGGTGATTGCATCCAATTTTCGCTCATAATCTGTGTATTGTGGTTTAATCCATGGGTGTTCACAAACAAGCTGGCAAAGTCTCAGCGTATTTGGTCAAGCACTTAATTTATAATGAATATTTTTACAACCACGCGAGTAGCCCGATAGTCTGACAACACTTGCGCGTTCGTGAGCTGTGATGTAACAACTCGCTTGCATTATGAGCATCTGTATTCCAGCAAGTGATGTTGTTTCCTGGTCGGCTGCGAGCAGTGGAGCTATTTCAGCTTTCTTCAGCTTGACATTGATAATGGAACGATTTACAGTGGCTGAAACTAAAGTACAAGACAATAGCTTCACTATTAGCTTCACTACTTGAAGCACACGACGTCACACTCGCCATGGCTAAATGGCAGTCACCGGCAGTGGGTGGTGTTTATTTCGGCAATTTCTAGGGCTCATTTTGTGATGAAATTTCTTTCCACAGTCCATTTTTCATACATGGGCACAATAGACTTTCTACATTCATTTTCACCAAAAACCCCTATTTGGTGGGTAACTGTGTCATGTGGTGGATAACCATAACATGGTCCCTTTAAATGGTAGTGGTTCTCTTCTTTGCAGGAACTGCAGTCCCTGCAGACGGTGCTGTATCCCAGCATTCTTTGTTCAGTCACAGCACATGGAGATGTCGATCGGCTGGAAGTGATGAGGCAATTCGTGAGTGTCCCCTTTTACACACTCCACTCGGGCACATGTCATCATAACACCAGAGAATTACCTTTTTTTTTTGTATTTGATTTTATATATAGACAGATATTGATGAAAAAGAATCAACAAAAAATAGGAAAAATTGAGATGCCGCCCAGTAAGAGGTTTTTAATGGACATCTGATCATCCGGTACACTACAGCTTAAAAAAACACACAATTCATGGAGTACAAACAATGACCAAGGCTCGTCATTAGTGCTTTTTTTTGTGTGTGTTTTGCACTCCAGTGACTAGTCGCACAACAAGCCAACTCGCCTCTGTATCTCACCTTACTGATGTGAAGCACAAGGTAAACAAGGAATGAGGCATTCTTATTGTAAACTCCAGGCTCATTCTTGGTATTGATATTGCTGTTGTGTTCTGTTTGTGTATAGGCTGTTACGAGAGGTCCCATGGTCTCTTGGGTAGCGTGCCGCAAGGGCCAACACAGGCGGGGAGCATCCAAGCAGGGGCAAGGCAGCCAGAAGGAAACAAAACATTTATATTTACAATGCATGTATAAAATGTGGACAAGGAAGCAGACGACACGAGATGTGGCCGGCCTTTGATAACTACCGAGGCGCTCGAGGAGGAGGGTGTCGGATGCGGGCAGCGTCCCTGAGGGACACGCCCAGTGTCTGTGGCGGACGCACTCAGCATCTCTGATGGATGCACTTGCTGTCTGAAGGCGGGTCGTGCAGCACTTTTCAGGTAGTCCAGCTCTGGGTGTAGCCTGTGGAAGCCTTTAAACTCATGGGTCACGGCATGCTCGTAACAAGGCATGCATATAACCAAAAAATGAATAAATAAATAATCGCCTTGAAGAAAATTTTTCCAAAGAACAACTCTGCATTTTAGTGGTGTACTGGACAATTCGGCCACGAGTGCCTAATCCTCCTGCATTTTAGATGACAAATTCATGAAAGCATCACTTGATTCTGCTGCATTATGGCGTTTGCACCACTCGCGTGCGAAATGGTGGGGATGGGCAGTTCTCAGCCCTTTGTGTTTTACTAACTGTTGTGACAGTGCAGCTGTATTCTGAATGGCCAAGCCGCTCCATGTGGTGTCATGTGAAATGTTCTGCCGCAGGGTGCCTACCTGTCGTCGTGTGACTACGACTTCCGCACGCCCCTGCACGTGGCCTCGAGCGAGGGCAACGTGGCCATGGTGCGCTACCTGCTCCAGCACGGTGCCAGCGTACACATGCGCGACCGCGACCACCACACGCCACTTATGAGTGCCGTCTTCTGCGACCAGCATGCCGTCATCGAGCTGCTGGTGCAGGCGGGCGCCCATCTCAGCTTGCCTGCCTTGCAGCTGGCTGACGAACTGTGCACGTTAGTCACCACTCTATTCCTTCACCGTATGTATTGCACTGGCATGATCTAATCTGCCTTTTGCACCATCAAGCAGCTCTCTCTTGGAAAATCCTGTTCTCCCAGTATGTTCTCTGGATGTTCCCTAGGATGTTCTCTGGGTGTTCCCAGGATGTTCTCTGTTCTTACGCTGTAAGAACAGAGAACATCATTGGGTTGATAGTCGTTGATTGTCTACCAGGCTGACCATAGTTTTGTTGTTTGAGTTTGACAGGCCACAATGATGCTTCTTGTTAACACCTCTTGCTAAGTGTAGTTAAGGCTGCGCAGCTATAGGAAGTCTTATGTTTGTTGCCACTCCAGAGCGGCCAGGAATGGCAATGTAAAGCGGCTAGAGTCCTACAAGCTTGCCGGAGCCAGCTTCTACGAAAGTGACGTGACTGGACGGACATGCCTTCATGCTGTGAGTGTTCAAAAGAACGGAAGCCAGGTGTTGCCTTATGCTTGAAATAATCTTTCCATGCAATATTCTGACTTTGGATTTAAAAATACTCCTCTCTCTAATGTTTCTTCTGTGATCAGACGAAAAATAAGCCCTTGAGGGTTATAGAAGATTATTTCTTTTGTGTCATATGGAGTGCAGCAAGTGACTTTCAGCATATTAGGCTCTTACACATCAATAAAGGCAAATTGACACCACTAATTTTGTAAAAAAAAAAAAAGCCAGAAACACATTCGTCTTGACTCTTAGAAGGAAGGCTTATTATTTGCCAAAGAGTATGTACTGGTTCGGGGATCAAATGTGAGACCAGCACTTTTCAGGACAGTTGCTCTACCAGTGAGCTAACCTGGGAGGTAGCGATTCAGCCATATGAGGGCGAATCGTTTATTAGAAGTTGTTGGGCCAGTTGGTTACTTTTCATATCGCAGTTACTTCTCACAACTTGCTAATTCCTCGAGAAACACTCTCACATTCACACATGCTTCTACTCAAGAAACACACCACACACAGAGCACTCTGTGTGTGGCTACCTATTGTTATACACCCTCCCCCATTATGTAAAGCCCCAAGAGGGGCCGTAAATAAATGATAATAGGTAATGATGATTGAATAATTGGGGAGAACTTTACTTACTTGAAACATTTCTTCATCCGTTATTGAAAAGTGTGACACCTTTGTTGTTGCACTGGGCTGTGTTCCCACATTTTCTAAAATTCAGTTTCATTTCTGAAAAATAACATAGAAAGTAAGTGGCAAAATCATGACCAACAAGTAACTTTCCTTTGCAATCGTTTTATATGGCCAGTGCTACCATGTAGGGTGGAAATTTGCAGGATTATTAAGAAAATCAAGAAGTTTAAGAACTGTGCTACATGCGGTAGAATAAAAAGTATTAGGCATAACTTGAAGAGACAGGAACAGAGTAGGAAACAAAAAAGTGCAGGCGAAATTCCAGCTGACATTACAAAGAAAAATGCTGCGTTCAAACACAGTTAGACCAAGTTTGTTGAGCAATAGCAACAACTACTGTGCGGCAAGCACTGGCAGTCTGCCCACATTTCTATTCTTATTGCCAATGCAGCAGTGGCATTGCAGGTCTCGAGGCACACGTGACGGCTGGCTCGCGACTCTCACACTCTGGCGAATAGGGTTGTGTGAGAGGAGGACAAATCGACACTGCGCATGTCTGTTGCTATGAGGAAACACACGCGAGGGTCATTTTGTTGTTTTGTAACTGCAAAGAATAGAGCTCTAAAGGTAGGGCTTTACGTGTGCAGTCGACTGTAATGGCAGATAACTGGCAGTCACTCAGAACTATGAAATCTGGAAACGGGAGGTGTAGCAAAGGATGGCAGAGTCCATACCAGGCTGCTGGAAAGCTACAGTGGATGTAAAAAGTTGAAATCAATAACAATAATGAAAATAAAACATATCATAGGTGTAATTGTGACTACAACTAGCTCTCTTTGCTTAGACTTGAAGCACTCGTGCAGTCAATTTGGGATTGCTTTCAAAGCTGTTTCAGAAACACTTTAAAGGGGCCTCGCAACACTTTTCCAAGTAGCCGTGTAATTTATTCAGTAAGGGAGCTTATTGCCTCATTGACATCCGCAAAAACTTGTAGAATCTATCCAGTATGAGTGGAGTTGCAAAGATATGTCGCACACTGACATTTCTTTCCCTCTTCTCTCATCTCGATGAAAGGACTGGAAGCTGAGCAGGAAAGTATGGCACAAGGGAATCCTTGAAGACTTTTAAAGACAATAGTCTTTTTTGGGGACCTTCGACGCCAAAATTTTGGTCCGTCTGTCTTGTCTTGCTGTCTGTCCACACATTTTTCTGTTTGTCAGCCTTATCGATACCCCAAATGGCACCAAACGATACCCCAAACAGCCAACCCCATCCGCAGCACCCACAAATATTGCTCAAGTTTCAGCGTACATACTTGTGCGATTGTCAATTAAAAGCAATTATTGTGCATATGTGAGGCACCATAACAACACGTCAATATTTTGTATGTGTGTCTTTATACTAGAGAAGGCACACATAAGCAATTCTTAGGACTGTAGCGTTTATCACGCTGTGCTGACAGTGCAATGCAATGCTCAAAAAGGCAAGTGTTTCCAACGCTTTGCTAAGACGACACGGTGGTAGCACTTGCCCATCGCCTTGCATTCTACACCTTTTTGCCTCCGAGACAGGTGCGCATCTTTCTCTGTGGTTGCGCACGCCTTCCTTCGTTTTCAAAGATAACTGCCAGGTAGCGCTCGTGTCTAACGTGCCTCGATGCGCTCTACTCGCCTTCGCTGCACGGATCGAGACTCTCTAACGCAGCGCTTCCAGAATGCAATTCACCGATTTTCTTGCGCAGGACACCAAATAAACATTTTGTTCACTCTCTCCACACGCACTATCGTCTTTCAACGATATTTGCAGTGAAACGTGCAGATATGAAGGTTAATTTTTTTGTGTGTCTTCGAATGGGTGGCTTCTCAGTGCGATTGCACACGCGATTGTACGGCCCCAGTAACTTCTAAACGAGCTACGCTCAAATCAGCCAATAATGTGATATTTGGGCCTGTGACTCTGTGAGTATGTAGCATAGTTTTTGAAAAAGGAGAAAGTGATTTTTAGTTGCCTGTGAGAATTTATTGTAAATTCGAAGCTGCGTGCTGCGCTATGATATTTGGCTTGCATGTTCTAGGGAGCCTCGACTATCGATCAACAGCATTTGCTGACTGTGCTCAAAAAGTTTTGCTGGGTTCTCTTGAGATAAACGAACTATTTGGCAGTAAATGATGGTGCATGATTCAAATTTCCGTCTTGCTGTAATGCGTTACACCCAACCTTTTTTTTCTGCCTCAAGGCATGTGAGGCGGGACAGGAAGCAGTTGTCAAATTCTTGCTGGAAAACAAGGTTTGGCCCGAGACAAAGGACGTCTACAACCACTCGCCCGAAGAAATCGCTCAGCTTCTTGGCCACGTGAAGCTGCTTCAGCTTTTTAAAAGCATCATGCCGACTACTAACAGGACGACTCAGGATTCTCACCAACAACCATCCCTGTAGTACAACCATGGCACTGTAGTAGCACTCGGTGTGCATTGTGTACAGGGTTTCTATAGCCTAGCTACCAAAGTTTATGCCCACATGCGGCAGTCTCATGTCAACGTATTGTTTGATAGTTTCCTAAGTTTTCATTCTGAACATATTCTAGTTTATGACAAAATGTCTGTGGTTATGCCGAGGCTTTTGGTGCTAGAGAGGATTTGTGACTGTTAACTCTGTTAAGGTTTGTTGGAATATTTCACCTGTACTTGGACTTGCTTGATTAGCTGGCAATGTGTGAATGACTGATGCTTCGATGCGTGTGCTCCGGTGTGACATATTGTTGTATGCAAGTTTTAAGAACGCATTATCTCGATCTCGCAAATTATCCATTGTAGCCTTTAGCAATGACCATTCACGTAGAATTACCTCAGTGCTCGTCTGAAATATGTTCTTGCTTTGGACGAGATGATAGTCGTGTGCGGTGAGGTGCAAATTGTAGGCAGCCTCTGCATGCGGGCATGATTAATGTCTTTTATTGAAGCACCAACATAGAATAAGTACTGCTGATTTTTGCAACTTTGCAATGGTGTATTTATGTGTTCCTTATTTGTTTGTGCTGCACTTTTGTAATTTTTGTTGTTGCATCTGAGTGACGAGCAGTAGCATAATGGGCCAAATTCTTAGTAATTAAGATGGCTGTCGTGTGTGCATCCTTGTTTCATCGACCTGTTTAGCACAGTTCTGCCGAACATGAATATCCAATTCAGGCCAACCAAGAAAAAAATGAAGACATTACTGTGTTAGTAAACTTACGAGAGAATACACTGGTCTCTTGTGATGCTTGAATGAGTGCAAATTCATGCAATTTAGACCATAATTTATTTTTTTTATTCTGCACCTGCTGAGCTACCTCTCACCTGTACACTTTTTCTTTCTTGCGAGGAAACACAAGAGGTTAGACTTACTTTCGAATTGCCTTGGCAGCTCTTGTTACAGCAGTGCTTGGGTCCACACCTTTATAACAAATCTGTTATGTGTAAACAATAAAAGTGTAGTTCTATGTGACTATTTTAGCAGCTTGTTTTTCCTTTTAAACACTGCTGCAGGCATCCAGCCACCAACAGAAAACATATTTTTATTTGCTTGGTTTTAGTTGTGAATTCGCACTTTACATGTAAAGCCCAGATAAATGTTGATCATAACTGGTTCCTAGTCACATACTACAAGGTGAACACCGCAAATGTTTACAAAATTCTACAGTTCCTGCACGCTCAATGCAAGTTTGCCCGCACTTACTCGGTGGTCTTATTCCCGTACAAGAAAGTGCATTTGATAGTGTGCACAGCTCCTTGTTCATTATGTTCACAATTGCTGCCCAGGGCTTCCTTGACTAGTCTGAACAGGCCACACACAGAGTTGAATGTGCAAGACAATGAACTTCAATCCTGTTTATTGTCACAACTGACAAGATGATGAATTCTTGCTTTGGGTTGTCTGGTGATAAATAAAATATGTTTTAGAATACAACTGCAAGTGGTATTCACAGTTGGACAAGCTTGAACAATTGTGCAAGATGTCGCACAATAAAGCAGCTTGCCTAGGTGCATTCACAACACTGGTGACTTACGAGACGTTAGCCACAGCGTGTCGCACTTGAGAAAAGTCAAACAGCTGGGTTATGTGAAAGCCTTCTTTAAATTTTGGAGCTTCAGAAACCAGTGAAAGAATAGTGACTTGATGAGAAATTGTCAAATAACAGATGTTGCATTGCTTGTTTACTTCAAGCCTTTCTTCAGAACTTATGCCTAGTTTGAACCAAAGAGATATACCTAATTACCATAAATGCCAAGAACCACATAAAACTTACAACAGACACAGACCTTGCAAAAGGTCTGTTTTGTGTTTTTTGTTGTGATTGTTTGTGCATCATTCATCCTTCAGAATGTCATACCAACTAGCCGCTGTTGAAGCACACTTTTTAACAGTGGGTAATTCTGCATTAAGGCAAAATAATTGAAGGGGCCCTCCAACATTTTAAAAGCACCTATTTGTTTTATTTGTGGTGTGCATAAAATGACGGCTGGGGATAAGTTTAGCACATGTCTAAAGGGTCTAAGCACCGATGTTGAATAATTTAGTATTTTTTTCATACAATAAAGCCACCGCATTGCTGTCAACCACGTCAGAGCGTAGTGCCTGTACAGTTGTGGGTAAAAATGACGGCTAAGCACGCAAGCCTGTAATTGGATAAATGTAATGTTAGAAGTTATTGTGGTGTAGCAACGAAATTGAAATTACTATTGAGTTTTCTTTTATTTTTCTGTGCTTTTTAATTTATCTCCAAACAGATGCCATTGCAAGAAAGAAGGAACACTACAACTAAAAAGCACACAGAGGTGCTGGCTGCCATTTCGCCTCTGGGTTTTTTGCTTGTGTGGGCCAGATGTCCATTTGAAAGGCTTCTCTCTCTTCTTGCTTCTGTATTGCTGCAAGCTGCCTATTTTCACACATGCGCTATGCCATTAACTGCTGCTAAAGCAACACAAGTCATCCCCTTGTTGGATTGATATCGCTGAGCCCTTGCAGTTAGTCAAACGGTTACTGAACAATCCGCGTAGGGGCAGTCGTGCTTCACTGCCCTTGTAGTTCCACGAATTTCCTTGTCAATATGAGAAGAGAGAATGACATGGGATGTTTGAAGGAACAGCAGAAAAGGCCTTGCTTCATAGCAGGAGCGCCCACTCATATTGTGACAAGTCAGGCGTTGGGCACTATATTGATTACCATGGAAATGGCATCAACAACACATTGAAAGAGATTAGCAACAACAGTGCTGTTTGCGCACATCCAAGCTTCCCTCTACGCAGAAGCTTTCAACTCATTTCATTCGTGGCATGTTGCAAAAGCACGGCAAAGTGAAAGGGGGCTACTTGACCACATTAAAATCTAGTCAAGTGTTGGGATTTCTCTTTATTTTGAATTTTTTGGAATTAGTAACTGTGGACTGCGTGCCACTGTCACTGCTGTTCTTGCTGCACTAATCTGTCTGTTTAAGTCTGTGAAATGCACGAGTCAAAAAATGGGGGATTAAATCGTGTTGTAGGGCCCCATTAAATGCCTCAGCAAATGCTGAAAATTCGTCTTTCAACATGAGCTGATGCAAGAAATTATCATCACGATGTCACAGAATGCCAGAATTTGTGGCATCATTACAACGTCATTATGAAGTCACTATGACATTGTGTGATGCAACATCACATTTGTCGAGTCGTGAGACACCTCCTTTCAGAATATATGGACACACGGTTACGCCATAGTCTTATGAACTGCTTTTTTCAAAATGGCAAGTTCACCAGCCAAATTTTGTCAGCAACTGATAACATGAGAAATAATTCAATATGCTGTCAAATACAACACACAGAGGACATAGCACACACAAAACAACATAACACATATGATGTTCTGTGAATGCACCACGACGTCCCACAAGAACGAGCTGTGGTGTTGCTCCTAATGACCCTCCCAGCAGCCGTCTGTCACTGACCACACCAAACTCTAAAGAAAAAAAAGTCCCTTTCCTCAAGCGTCAGCTCCCTTCCCGCCAAGTGGCGGCACTGTGTGACCATTCTGTGTTGTGACCACAGCGGGCAAAAACGAAATAAGGTGAGAGGCGTTCTATGATGATTTCAGAGGAAGTGTTTTACTGTTTTAAGTGAGGTTGAGGTGCCTTAGAAGTAGTTATAAAGCGAAATTCAGTAAAGAAGAACGATGAGCATACTGTGGGTAAGATGTCAAAGCATGCTCTGAATGAATGTGGAGATATCCACTCGGGTGTACGTTTGGACACAAGTCGACGTGAAGTCTTTGGTTTTAGGGACAACAATAGAAAGCGGGACATCCCCACCTTTATTGACACCTTTATTTTGTACATTATAGTTACATCATTAGGAAATAAAACAAAATAGGGTTCCAAAGTTAGAAAACCATACCGGGACCCTCTGTACATAATTATTACATAAAAATTATGAAATAAGCACAAAAATAAAAAAGTCTAAGTCAACAACAACAAAAAAGAATAATGCGTACAAGTTACAACAAAGAAATACTGCGATAATAAGATACAATAAACATTCTTGAGCATACAGAACTGTTTTTGAAGTGTATGAATGTCGGATAAGCAAATACATATATTCGTACTAACAGTGATAACATGTATACCGTGAACAGTAGTAGCAAGATATTTCACGTAATGTTTATATATAACTATACAGGAAAACAAAGCACTGAAAAAAAAAAAAAAACACAAGTCACGCTGTGAATAATTCATACAATTATTGACTTAGCTAGGAAATGATCTTTGAGTGCTTTTTTTTAATTCAGCAAGAGATAACAATGTTTTCATAGAGTGAGAAAAAGAATTCCACATTTTGAAAGCACTGAATGATGCTGTATTTTACCATAATTAGTAGAAGCTTTAGGTAGCAAGAAGGTATTCTTTTTAGAAAAACATGTTGGGTTATTATTATTTAAGAAATCCAAGCAAATAAATTTGTGGGTAAGATCTTTATTAATCAACCTGAAAGCATGGTAGTGAAGTTACATGCAAATAAATCATTAGGTGTGAGCTCTTTCTTCCCAATGCATATCATATTATTATTGTGATCAAAGTTAGAAATAATGCACAGAGCTTATATGTTGAACAGATGAGAAATGACACTGATAGGTGTTGCCACAGGCATAATTGATATGACTGTATGAATGCATGATAAAGCGAAAGGAGGGCAGAAGTAGACACCTGGCTTTTATTATTGCTCTTATGCTGCAAGTTTTTTTTCTAACTTGTGAAATGTGATGGTGAAATTTTATTGTTTCATTGAGATAGATGTCCAGAAATGAAACACAGCCACTAGTTGAAATCAAGTGGGAGTCAAGGGTAACTCGAGGTGAAAATTGTAGTCGTCAATGAGGAGAACGGAAAACTATGAATTTAGCTTTTTTGAATTTACAAGTCAAGCGATTACTGTGACACAAAGTAGCAATAGTGGGTAAAGTAATTGGTGGCAGAAAATAGAGAGAAAGAACAAAAATAAAAATTGGGAGAAATGAGAACTTTCTGCCGTGAAGGGGTAGAGAACTAGCTGTGAATTAACCACACTAAATAGAACTAATCCACTGGACACGCGTGCACCATGAGGTGAAAATGGTGAAAACAAGTTTATAGAAGGTGATGGCACCCCCACACATTGTCACTTCGCTTGGTTAAAAGTAGGAGACGTGCTGCACGTGGGCAGCAGGTCGCCTGCTTCTCGCAGCGTCATGATGCAAACCTATTCTTTCTAGTAAAGTAAAAAGTTTAAGAATAGACAGTGTGACAAAATTCATTATGCCTTGGCTGGAAAACGTGATCATTGATGTTTAATTTTCGAACTGAGTTTTCTATGTATGTGTTGCGGGCAACATCTTAGCCAGCAATCACAATGCAGATGTTCGCATACGTTGCGAACTCCCAGAAAGAATGGGTAAATTATACGACGTACATGCTGAGGTTGCGAGAAGCATGCAACATGCTGCCTGCCACGCACGTCTTGCTTTCCGCAGGTGCATATGTTTTCCGCAGACCGTTTTCTCGTATTTTTTAGAATTTAGTTTTTCGAGTTGGAAGTTTAGGGTACTTCAGCTGCCACTCAGTATTTTCGCTACAGTACATATGCCTAGTGGCTCTTAAGGGCTCCAGTTTCCATGGTTTTGTGACGAAATCTAGATCTGTACACTGCTCCCGAAGTTTTCGATTAACCGGACTGGTGCTGACCGTCACTTCAAATTATCCGCTCGAACTTACATTGCAAAATCCCCGTTGAAATACTGCGAATTAAGGGGGATTTCGAAATAACCGAGTTCGAATAAATTAGGTTGTAATGTATGTTATAGGAAGTTTATAATTGTCATGTAAATGTGAAGAAGGTAAAGTGAAAGAAAAGATAACTTGCTGTGGGCCGGGACCGAATTCAAAGTTAGTAGCTTCAGTCCCTGCCAGTGCCGGCGGCAAGTTATTTTTTTGCCTGTTTCCTTTCTTTGCATAGATATTATAATCTCCTATATATTTCTTGACAATGCTGTCTATTAATTATTATTAGTGTTGTATGTAATGCATTAGTACACATTCTTGCTTTTGCATGCATTAGTAAGAAGATGTGTACCTAATTAACTGAACATTTAAATTTTGTATTAATTGCTTAGAAGGGGATCTTTACAGCCTAAAGTTGGCACATTGTAATCAACCAACTGCGTGAATTCAGTAAAGCACAACTAGGGCTTTCAAGGTAAAACAGCTGCACGCATTTTGGAATGGTATAAAGACGATACTTTCGTGGGTGCTTTCGTCCATGAAATCATAGCAGCAAGCAAGATCAACAGCTGTGTGACCTTTGTCATTATCATGCTGGCCTCACCAAAAAGGAAATGGCAGCAATATGACAGGGTTTGTGACGTCATGCACAGCTTTCTACTCTTGTCTTGCATGCATATATATATATCTGGCACTGGTACTAATAAAGCTTGGGTGAAGTGAGCAGCTCAGTGTCGTGTCCTCTCCCGATTCGATTTGCACAACACAAACATGTCGATATTGCCAGCTCGCCCAAGCTCTGACAACAGAAAACAGGGTGGTGTCATATGTGCCTATTAAATCAGGCTGGAGAGGAGCTGTCCGTCTGATGAACCACTAGAGGACCTTTAAACAGCCACTACATGTACACTAAAGAACAATAAAAAAACACCCATTCTCACCAACCCACCTTTCTCTTTTGGTCTTTCCCATTATCGTGGCACTATTCGTGACATCAGTACTGTGTTCACGTAATAGCAACATGAAATGAGCTCTCAATTGGTGAATATATGAAATATATCTCGTGAACTGTTTCATACTCTGCTTTACCCTGCAATTGCATGCTTGTTCTGCCTTAGCTCCCATGATTGTCGTGAGTGACAAACTGATTTCACTCCATTTTCTGCATTTGCATCTGTAGAAGCAGAGGTAACAGCGTGTAGTTGAAAAGCCCGAAATTCTGAGTGGCTTAACACTTTATGCTGACATTCCATGTTTATGAAGTGGCAAGGAGAAGATAGCACTTGTAGGAAGGGCAGTGATGGTCGTCTTTGAACTCAGGGTGGTTTAGGGGCTCTTAAATAATGACATTTTGAAGAGCAGAAGTTTGGGCTAGTTGCTGATACATACTTGGTGAAATGAAGCACAATAAATGAACCAAAGAAAGGAGAGACAGACAGGTTGAAGTGCTCCGACAACTTGAAACATTTATTGACAAGTGGCGTCGCAGTTAAGTAAGGCGCACAAGACATTTCATGTTCAGCAACAAGAAACAACTAACAAGAGAGCCAGGCATGAAACACATGCCCGTGACAACACTAACAAGTGGAAAACGAATTCACAAGGATGTCTGAATGATAACTGGCACATAAGCTGACCACATAAAACTGGGAAAAAAATGAACAAGATAAAAAAAAAAAAACTACAAGCTATAAAACATAATTGCACTATTCCTTGCAATGGCAAGGAAAAAAATTGCTACAAGAATGAAAGGATTGAAAAAAAAAAGTGTGATTTGAATGATTTTGAAAGAAAAACTGAAACAATGGTTCAGAAACTGGGTCCGTTAGGGCGACCATGAAGCACAAATCTAGGGTCCAGCAGGGTCTCATGATAACCATCCTCGACCGCAACATAAAAGGTCAAGTGCAAAGCAGGCTGGTAGCACAGTTTGTACGCATGTGTTGTGAAGGGACTTTTGCCCACCGCACCGGTTATGGTGCTTGGCTGCTGACCCAAATGTCGGTTCGATCCCAGCTTCGGCAATTGCACTTCAACAAGGCCCATGTACTGGATGATGTCAAAGCACGTTAAAGAACACCAGATGGGCAAAGCCCTCGATCACTGGCACTTGAAATTATTAAAAAAACATTTGTCTTATAGTGTTTCTTTAATGGTGTTAATTTACGTAGGTTACAACATGTTTGGTGAGAGAAAATTTTTAAGCCACGCCCGAGTCAAAAGCTTTGACTCAGGTGTGGAAGCTTTTGTCAAGTCGTTCGTGTGTACAGAAAGGACCTGACTTTGTGTTACTGTTTTATGAAGCAACGTTATGTCATCAAAGAGTAGCACAAAGGTTATTCTCCGCAAGCTTCCATCATTATTCTCGTTTTACTTTGCTCTCTTGTGCCTTTTATAACAAATGCTTGGCATCCGTGTAAAGCCTTTCTTGCAATTCTGTCAGAGGTTTTCTGCTGATGTCAAGGGTTCAAAACTTACAGCATTTATTGGTGCTGCCTTTTTATGCAGTGAAATTAACAGGGATCCCTTGTTCGTCTAGTCTGCTGAGAGATCTGCGAGATGCTGTGTTCTGTTGCGAATGTTACTGACTGAACCCTGCAAAGACAATCTATTGTTAGCATCCACTTGTTAATTCAGGCTTCACTCCATTAGAATACACAGCAATTTAAAGGCACAAAGACATGAAAACAAGGACGCATGTTGTCGTTTCTCAATCACTGACACCACTCTTATTCAAGAGTTCAGAAGTTGTCTAAGCCAAGATATTGACACAAAACTGCTGCTGGAATAACAACATGCAGGTCAATCAGGTTTTTGAACATTTCAACTACACATGTTCTTTCTTTGCATTTGCTGTAATGAGGAAATCTTGGAAGATGTGTTGCGAAATTGGCCTGAGCCTGACAACTCCTACTATTCTTTGACACAGAACCCGAGCTTTTGTACATCTGTTTTGCCATTTGGAAAGGTACATTAACTTACCTTCTCGATGGACAGCGGTGCTAATAATTTATAGCGTGTTTATTTCTGAATGCAATGTGGACAGTGTGTACGATGGTATCGTTATCAATGGAAGACAGTGCTCCCAAGTTTATCACTTGCAGAAGCTGCTCCACCAATTTCTTGTTTGCACTTCATTTGTTCATGGCTGAACATTTCTCTTGGAGTTACCACAATCGTTAGATTGTTCCTGTCATGAAATTTGCCATCCAATTAAAAAACATGAGTGAAATCTACTGATGTTCCAGACAATGCCCAAAGTAAAAGCTTGCAATCACTGAAATCTCTGTGCTGGTGGGCTTTTACTATTTTGCCAGTGGTGTTAGTATTCTCTCAAATGAGATGCCTTTTTAAATCTTCTCTCTCTATTAATATTACAGGGCACTGCATTTAGAGAACTACGTTAGTCACAGATAAGTGGGCTAGTTGGTTTGGACTCGTAATGGAGTGAAAAGAGGGCAGCGCAAGAGCGAACACAATGGGCGAGATGATGACAGTCCTGTCTTCATATCATCCTTTGTATTCAATCCAGCGCTGCTCACTTTTTACTTAATTATGAACAACGCTAATCTATGCCGTTTCCCTCCTCAGTTTCTTCTGTGCTCCGAGTTCAAGCACGAATTCCTCTAAACCCGCTGTCAAGATTTCAGTCCCTGTAATGCAATTTTTCAACACATTTCACTTCTAAAATTGTAATCCCGTTTACCAGCCATACAATACCGAATAATTCACCCACTTGGTCATAGCGTAAACGCCGCGCGATGCACTGCCATTTTATGACATGTACCACGCAGCGCAGCTGACGACGCCTCGCATATCTACCGATAACTTCGGAAGATCTGTTGTAGGGGCCGGCCGAACGCATTGTCACTGCACATAACCGAGATTCTTGTCAGTTGTTGGAAAACGAACTGCTAGGACTACACGAAATAACGTACACAAAAGCAGGGTGTAGGGCGTTGCAACATATAGGTTTACAAAGAATGCCAATTTAGGCGCAGGCGTGATCGATGAAAGAAAACGAGGACCTAAGCTCTCAAATTCTGTTATTTTGATTTTCTATTCCTAATATAATTCACGCAACTAGTCCCCCTAAGATACAATGCGTTTACCTTGGCGATTTCTGGGATCAATATGCACCACACAAGCTGTAGCAGTTGACGTAAAACGTAAAAAAAAAAAAATGCACAGTCCTGGAGACTGTAAAATAAAACAAAAATATTCATATTCTATTTTCAACCTAGCCGTAAGAATACGTCAAATCTCGAATGATCTACGCAGCGCCGAAGCCTAAAACCAGTGCTAGAACATTCCACAGACGACGCCAATGTGGCGATACTACTATTTTCCAACGAAGAACACGTCGCCACACTGCCGCCTCAGTCCTTGCTAGGCGTTAATTCCTCCTTCGTGGGTCTGGATGGGTGTCCGAGAACGCTTTTGGAAAGGACACCATTTGTTCCGAGGCCTAAACAGGCCACGCAGAAAATAAAAACACAAACAAAAAAGAAGACGCACGAAGCGGACCAGCAACCGTTGCAACCACAACAACGCATAGCTGACGTCACAGAGAAAAATTTCCCCGAAGCCGCAGTGCGGCCTCAGACAAAAATCGTCCGCGGTGCGTCCTGAAGCGCACATTTACAAGTTTGCAGTTATATAATCAAAATATTGCTTTCAATACGTAAAAAATACAAGATAAATAACTAAATGTTGTTTTCAATGAATTGACTAAGTTATAAAAGAAGCACATTAGCATGACTGAAAGAACTACATTTCTTCCTGGCGGAGCGCTACAAACTGCAGAGCAGAGCTATAAAAATCCGCGTGACGTTCATCTCGGTGGAACTTCTCGCAGGGACGTGCGCTGGAGCTTGCGGCCGCGTGTCTGCGATAAGGTAAGCCTACGCCTTGTTTCGTCTGTCTGCTTACAAATCATGGTAGCCGTTTTCGAAACGGCTGGTGGGCCAGCTTACACGGTCAACACCCAAGAGCTTCAGAAGATAGTGAACGGCGCGTGGCAGAAATGGTTGAGGCGGAAGTGCGATCTGCGAATTAACGTCCTCGTCCGGGCAACATATTCAAGGGCAAAGGAGGAGTTGGAACGCAAGCGCCTATCTCGCAAACGCCGCTGGCAGGAGCTGTGGTCCGAGAGTGCCCAGTGGAAGCGACCGCACCAAGATGGCGGCTCAAGCGACGATGACCCACTTTCCCTGAACTGTTTCTTTGAGAAGCTTCGGCACGGACAAGTGGCAGTGCAGGACTGAGTCTGAGCGTGGCGTCGTTTCCTTTCTGTTTTTGCAGTTCCCACCACCACCTCCCGCCCCCACGGCGCGACTACCCGCCTGGATGTCGGCGTCCGCTGGAAGGGAGTGAGTCACCGGTGGTCGCACTAATTGTACATATCATCATCCCTGTAAATAATATATTTCTCATTGTACATAGCCATAGTCTTCTTATTAAACTGATGAAATGTCGAATTCTGCAGTCCGTCGCAATTCTATTGTCGCTGAGCGGCCGCCATCTTGGTAGGCTTAGCAAATATGCCGTCGTTAGGCTTACATGTTCACTGACATAATGGCCCCACATGCCGATTCGTAAAGCTGGTAGTTTCCCGTCCATTGCTGCAAATAGTCAGTAACCTTGTATTTTTAATTTTTATCTGCACAGCTATGATGATTCGCGTTGATGTGCTTGATTTCTCTTGTCTATAGGCGACCTTGTTGAACAGTTCCCAGTCGTCGCAACGTTTTCAAGAATAACGTGTTCTTTTTGCAGTAGATATCCCAAGCCGATGAGAAGGTCGAGCACCCTTTTATGTGTTGAAAGAGACTTGCGTTTCAGACCTTGAGAGTATCGAAGAAAATTCTGCATTACTTCTGCAACTCCAGCAAATTTTGCAAGTACTTGAGAAAAGTTCGTACGGGATGGATGATAGCACTGCATCGCCGTCGTCGCCTGTCATGGATTTGACTTTTCAACTCTTGGGTTTGCCCGCTCTTTTTCTTTTGTACACTATTCATGGCGTGGCTTCATTTGTCAATTAGCGAATCGATCAAAGATTTTTTGAGTTTTTATACTTGTCATAAAATGTAAGTTTCATCTAGTTCAAGTTATTGGTTGATTACATCAACTATGCTATGACGAATTTTCCTAAATTGCCATCGCCATTTCAGCCAAGGCACATACATTCTTCGTTCGAGAAGTCTGATTGCTATCTTTTGCTTTTGACCTTCTTCTCCATTTCTATAGCACCAAGTCCTATTCAAAGAGAAGTCTTCACAGTACTCTGGATTTACAGTGGAAGTATTGCAAAGATTGTGTTGGGGAAACTGCTAAAAGCTGACCAATATGGGAATCTTGACCAAGGATAGAATTCTGGCTCAAGCTTCGAAAGCCATTGTACAGTTCAAGGGGAAGAAATGCCAAAGAACCCGATCAGAGCTCAAATCGTAACTTCTTCTGAAGTATGGCAAGTTTGAAGTAATGTGAAGCACAAGCTGTAAGTCGTCCTCTTGAAGAGTTCTCCAAGATTTGTATGCCAGTTATGTTTTTATGTGGAAACATGGTGTTCCTGGTTTTAAAGTGCAGATTCCAGCTATGAAGTATACAGTGCACAATGAAGTTTCTCAAGGTTTCAAGTTTTGGTTCAAGTGGTCCTAGTTAGCGACATTGAATTGGAATAGTCGGTGTTCAAGTAATGTGAATGTTCAAGAACAGTCCGTATCCAAGCTTCAAAATTCTTTGTGGTAGTTGTCAAGAAATTTTTTTATTTAACCTTCAAGCAGTCGTCAAGAGATCTGCTATCTGAAGTTAAAGCTTGAAGAAATTTGAGAAGAAATAGCAAGCAAGCATTTAGGTTTTGGCCGATGTGCTTATGAAGTTTAAGTTAAAGAAATATTGCAAGCAGTTAATTTTTGCAAGATGTGCTCACTGAAGTTAAAGCATGAAGAAATGTCGGAGAACAAAGAAAAATTACCAAGTAGTTAAATTTTGCAAGATGTGCTCTATGAAGTTGAAGACAATTCTGAGAAATTTCACTTGCAAGTAGTTGAATATCTATCACAAGATGTGCTCTGAAGTTAGAAGATTGAAGAAATAGAACAGACCAGAAGAAAGATTATTCCAAGAGGGGGGAGGGGTCATCTTACAGAAAAGATTTATTTATACATACAGAGCAAGAAACTCGGGCACAGTAGATCGTGCCAGACAGAAGTGCCAAGGTTGCCCGAAAAGAAATAACCGGATAGCAAGTTTCGCCGTGCATTGGAACTGGTTTGCTTTTCTCTTTTTCAGTAGGCTAGCTCAATTTTTGGTGCTGCATTAAAGCGAAAATTTCTTAGCAGTGCTTACATTTTATAGCAGCAGCACATAGGCTTAGGCTAGGCATGAATTTGGAACGAGTTTGAGGCTCAGGCATGTTTGTTTTGCAGGTATGCACGGGGACTGCCCAACGAGATTTAGTGTCTGAATGACCTGTAATGAAAACGAGGGATCGTTCATTTAATAGAAGGCATCGCAATGGTTACGCTGGTGTGTAGCTCCCACAGGTATTCGTGAGTTCTTGTTGCATTTGTTTCCCTGAACTTGTCCATCTGTTACGTAACGTTGCATTGCATTTGTAATTGACCACTTTCCTATAGCAGCTGTACTAGTGCTCGCAAAAAAAAAAATGTATACATAGTATACTCCTCTGCATTTCTGCGAAGTCCTTTTTCAGTCGAATATTTTCTCCAGCATGTCTTGGGGAGGGGGGGGGCGTGTTGTATGCTTTGCTTGAGACCCATTGCAGCTAACTAGGTGTACCACCTGGATGACATAGACCTTAGTGACACCATCACTGCTACGACACAATCACATCGTCTCACTGCGTCCTGGAGTCTCCGTGCGTTGCTTTCCATTCTGCCTGGTGCGCCCTGGTCTTGTTTTTGTCCGTCCTGGCTGCACGGAAATTCTCTCGTAAGCCACGTGTGAATGGGGTTTTCGTTCTTCCTATGAAATTTGCACGGACCGTTTCCTAACTGCAATAAGTTGCAAGTTGCTTTGCTAGTCTTTCAGACTGGGTACTGCAAGGCTTTTGTAATGCTGAAGTGCGAACTTTGTGGGGGAGGGTTAATTGTGCAGCTATTGCAAGTTAACAGTATCACCTGCATTAGAGCACTTTGAATTGTAACCTGCTGAAGCATTGCATGCAATTTCTTCGCATTGGTCGTCAATCGTCGCCAGAGCATTTTTAGATTGGATGGGGGGGGGGGGGGGGTAGCGGTAATTGTGATTAGTGTTTTTGCAGGAAGCTAGGTGTTTGGCATAAAGGTCTGGAGCAAACCCTGCTGTTGTGAGCAGCCGACATTATTGCCGGGTAAGGGGATTTTGATGTAATAGGGAAGAAGTTTCGGCGTATTATGCAAGTTTGTGCAGTGCCGAGGTAGCCAGGATCTGGAAGATCGGCAGATCTCGTAAGCATTTTTCTGGGGGCGGGGAAAGGGGCTGCTATGGAATATCTAGTTTTTGCAGTGCTTGACGGAAGTTCCTTAAACTGGACCTGGAGAGAAGCTGCCGTAAGCATTATTTTTTGTAAGGGGAGGAGATTTGGTTAAGTCTGTACAGTGCCAACAATCTTTTACTTAGCATTTCTAAGCGTCTTGTTTACGGTGGAGAGGGGGGGGATTCACTTAACTTTTTCTTCTCCAAGAGTCGTACAGTTCGGTGCTCATGGCAGTGCCTGTCTGCAGAAGAGGACCAAATGTAAGCAGAGTGAATTGAACTGCTAATGGGGGTTGGGAGTGGTAATTGACCTGTGCTGCGGAGCTTATTTCAGCATGATTTGAGGAGTGCGAGTGGCTTTGTGTGGATGGGGGGGGGCGTGCATGAGTCCTTGCAGTTACGTGCCGACCCATAGCTTCCCATGTGCTTCACTGGCTGGCAAAGAGAAAGCGGGACGCGGTCCCTTTCCGGTGTGCTGGGCCCTCTTCGCCGATATTGGTTGCAGGGAGTACTTCTGTAGTATTTGCTCCTGTGGTTTTGGGACCACCGCTTATGTTGCCGTTAAAATGCGCCTAGGCAAGAAGTTGGGGAAACGTATCGAGATCCTGTTCTGGTGTCCTGGCCCTAAAGCCCGCCGACCGCGAAGATCCCTGTACCGGCTACCGGGCTGCTTAACTCCATTCTACGCCGCCGCCTGCCGAGCGTGTATGGGCATGCTGGCCCTCGAGGACACGGTGCTGTGCACGCAGGTTTGCTCAGAGGCTTTCATCTCTGCAGTCACTAAATGTGGGGCTGTGTTTTTTTGTAGGGTTGTAGCTAGCTATTTACACCTAGCCAACCTTGTGGATTATTGCTTAAGGTTAAGGTTAGTCCAGGTAGCATTGCGTAACGGTGTGTGGGTAGTCGGCGTTTTCTTGCAGCTCCTGGCGCGAGTGTGTGCAATGCCAATGTGCGGGGCCGCTCCGGGCTGGCTGTGTTGTGTGCCGCTATGATGCCGAGGCGTCGAGCGTGTGCCGCGATGATGCCGTAAAGCAAGGCGTCGAGCAAGGGGTATCCTTCCCTGCGTCGGCCTATACATCTGAGGCCGTGGTTCCCGTGCTTTCCCCGGTGTAGTGTGCAAGGACCGCCGGCGACGCGTCTTGTGCGAGTAGCGTGTGAGGCGTGCCAGGGCCGTCATTGGAGGATGCGTGTTCTCCCTCAAGTCAAGATATCTTTCCAAGAGTTCCATTGCCAGCCTAGTCCGACCGAGATGTCATCGCGGCTTCATTACCTAGCTCGTTCGACGACGCCTACCTAGCCCCATCTAAATGCCACCACTAATGTCCCCCAGCGATTGAAGCTTCATCTGGCACTTGATATTCCTCTGCTGTAAAAAGGCTGATCCTTCAAGCGAGAAATGGACTATTTGTCAAGAGATTCCAAAGATATAATGAATACCATTTAAGCTGAAAAGTGAACGCTGTTACAGATCTATTCTCCCCAATTTTATCAAGCAGTTTTGACCTTATATTTTTTTAAAGACCATGTAATTCAGTGCAAGTGTTATGCACTGCTTATTCCAGTTTTACAGCTTTTGTGATGGTCAGTTTCATTCGACTATATTCGTGATCATTTTTATGCTGTATCATCTCGTTATCCTCAATTACAATTCACTTGTGTTGAAGTTGGAAATGGCAAAAGTATGGGGGCATATGTAACGCAAGTAGCTCCAAATGCATTGTTGGCAAACATAGCTTAACTCATTTTTAATGCAGTCTGAATAATGGCACTAATTGAACGTGTGCCTTGAAATGTTCCCAACATTTTTGCTTGTCAGCATTCCAGAGTTTGAAAGATCTATTGATCACCAAACGAATGGTGTTAATGTAAACGGCAGCTGTAGTGACTAAATTACTTGCAAACAGCCATTGTTTATGGTCTACACCTAAGTTGCATACTTCAAAATTGCAATCGTTGGTCAATGCAAACATGTTCATTTACACATAGTTTGTCGGCTCTGATGCATTGCGTTAGATGCATCATTACAAAGCTAATATGCGTGCACGTAAAGCATATGCATTTGATAATATTGATAAAAAAAAGTTGCCGCACATGTTGAAAATGAGCATAACGTGCATCAGCAAGTATTACTGTTACACATCTAGATCACTTGATGGTGAGCTGCTTAAACACCTGTTCCTCTGATTTGCCTATAAATATGCACTTTGGAAAATTTAAGATTATTGGCAAGTACTAATTGTAGATTTCACTTGTTACATCAATAATCAAGCATATGGAAAAGTTGATGGCCTTGAGTGGATGTGCCAACTAGAAATCCCTTACAGGCTGCCCATTGGCAACTATCAAATACATTTTTGCTATGATATATTGTAATGCTGGCCATTAGGTGTTGAGACCTTCAATGTTTACACTATTTGTGAAGAAATTCCTGGAAGAAACTGACTTGCTTTCTACAAGTAATAGCTTAGCCTTAAGCAAGAAATTGTATACCACTGTTACCAAATGCAAAGGTATCGCTTACATGAAGTGATCCTGACTATGTGTATGTAATAAGCAGTTCTTGCTGCCTTTAATTACATTGGTGCATAATTTTGCACAGTAGCTACTTAGTAGGTCTGAATCGAGTTTCATAGAAGCATTGTATGTTCGAACTACAAAAAGTCTTGCAGTTTATGCAAAAATATACTATTCAAGAGTTGTATGTTCAAAAACAAGTATTGCAAGTAGCTGCCTTGAAACTGAGTTCTATGTTCAAAAACAAAAGTATTTCATGTATCTGCCTTGAAAACTAAATCTCTAGTTTGCATTTATGAATACTTTGCACTTATGTCTGGACAGGGAGTGCGAAATTCTTGATTGCTTTGCCATTTTCATCCGAAGATTCCTTCGACAATTTTCATCCAAAGCTCTTCTGCACAAGCGATGATGATGATGATGAATGCCATATGGCTAGTCATTCATTGTAAATATACTTACAACGCCCAGAGATAAGCGTTGCTGTAAATGAAGGGTCAATAAAACGATTCCACAAAAAGCCTATGAAAAAAAAATTGAGCAAAGCTTATGAAAAAAAAAGATAGAGGAAAACTTATCAAAGGCTAGTGGAAAAAAAAAAATTGGAAAGGTGTGGAATCTGGGGCAGGTGCCAGGGGAGTAGGGAGCCTGCCAGAAAAAATTATAAGCACTCTATTTGCAGCAACGTTAGCAGCTTTTGGTATTGTGAAGTTTTAAGCAGAAGAAAATGAAGAATTCTTAAATGATGAAATAAAGAACTCTTAAAACCAATTGCACACAGTTTCCAGAGTGTTATTCCAGGCCAGGCAGTATTTGCCCCCCCCCCCCCCCCCAGACTCTTTGCTCACTGCTGCACTGTGCAGTAGATTGGCAAGGGCGTGCTGGGATTGATGGCGCAATCCATGAACCCCTCCTTCACTTTGCAGAAGGGTTCATGAATTGACGCTTTTCTTGTAGTGCCACCTTTTTTTTTAGTGGTAAGCCATGGAGATACTGCATAGAAGTTTACTGGAGGTCCTGTGGTGTGAATGGTATAGTATGCATTTACTCTTTGGTTGGCCATGCTGTGGTGGTTACTGAAGTGGCAGGTAGTAAGCCTGTAGTCTTTGGAATTGTGGGCGGTGTAAGTGTAATAAGTCACATAGCTGGTGTTTTAAGTAAATTCACGGGAACAAATCTTGTAGGTAGATGTTTGCTATGGCTCCTTTAGTGCGAGCTGCATTATATACCAAGTGACAATTAGTATAGGTCTGGGTTGTGGTCTGGTGGGATATGACTTCAGTACTAATTAGGCAAATAGCTTTTGCAGAAATATTCATGATGTAGTAATGTAAATGTTGTGATGTAAATGTGATTTGATTGTAATATATTTTGCTCAGCTTTGTTTTCCACATGGCTTTTAGAATATCTAGTTTCCCACACATAGCTTTCACAGTATCGATTCTGGAGATAAGTATGGGGTCTCTCCATTTGCCCTCTTGCTGTGTAGGTGCTTAAATACTCTGCTGCTTGCTGGTGTGAATTTTTTTTACTATACTCCGAATGTGGAAGTGTACAGGGGTGTTAAAAAAAAAAAGGTTCTATGTGGTGGTGGAGCACCTTCTCATGAACTGTGGCAGACTTGCAAGGCTTCAGCTGTGCCTGTATAGGCAGTCATGCATGTGTACTACCTCCATTTAGAGGAGGTTGTGGTCATTCTTGTTCGAAAGGTGTAGACAGTTACCCTTCCAGATTGTCCCCACCCCGTTTTTTGTGTGGAATAGTTGTCAATTTTCTGTTCAAACTGTGAGATCAATTGAGCTTGTCTGGAGTAGTGGTGTTGCATGCTATGCTTGCTTACCCAGTTAATTTCCTAGATTTTCAGTTTTCCTCTTGAAGGACAATAGTTCCCTTAATTGGCCTTGCACATTTACCTGTTCCCACAATGTTTTCTGCTCCTGTCATTCTCGGGCTCATTCTGCTGACATCTTTTGGTCTCTTAAAAGGGTGCATGGTGCTATATTCATAAAGCGAGAGTTGATGACCTTATAGTTATTGTAGAGGGGTCTGTTGCATGTATCCCAGATTTGTTCTGTTCTGCTGTTGTTTCACACCTGGGAAATTTTTTCATTGCGCCATCTGGCACTTGCTGTCTCATTTCCCAGCAGTGCAGTCTAGTGACCTTTGACCATTGATCTGTCTATCACACCTGCCTCTGTTCATTCTCTTGCCCATTTTGCAGTTCTCTTTTCTTATGCTTATTGATCATGTTACAATGCAAGCCATGTAACCTTAACATTTAGCTTAAGTTTTCTTCAGTGAATGGTTAATGAACAATTGCCTGCTCTTCTTCCAAAACCTAGTTGGTGCTCATTTTTAAGTGCTCAGAATTGATCAGCTCAAAAATTTCTACAAACAAAGCGCTGCTATTGTCCTGTGGTGTAATTTTCTACACCAAGATTTAGTGTAAAAAACTTGAAAGAAACTTGGAATGAATGCTACAAATTGCACCCCAATAAACAGTGAAGACAAATCTTGGGATCTCCAATGGCGATTTGCTTGGCATACTTAATGAAATATTTCATAAGTGTCCAAGTTGGGGGAGGGTGAAATGCCTGCCAAAATCTGGAAGTTTTGAATATCTAGGCATATTTTTATGTCGGGTGTTGGGAAAGACTCTTCTCCCATTTTACCCCATCTTGCTTGCTTTATCTTGTGTGAGCCAACCCCATGTTCCAATTTCCTAATGGTTTAAGTTAGCTGTTGCATATTCTGTGGCCAGCTTGAATATCTGCTACCCCTGTTAGGCAACCTCAAACCTTCATATATTTATTGCACTATGCTTGGTACTTGGTTCATTATCTTGAGCATCTACTAGTTGGAACTGGCGGTATGCATTGATAGTGTCCTCTTCTAGGGACTATAGCAGATGGCTCGATTGAGGTATTCACTTGTAATTTGACTGTGTGGTCTGCAAGTTGTAGGTGGCAGAGATCATCAGTTTTCCTAAGTGTCCAACAATATGTTATGATAAGCATGCAGTAGCAGCAGTATGGTGAGGTACCGGTTTGTTCAACTAAATAGTAATGTGGCTGAAATCTGTACTGTGAACTCGGAATAGTGGTGCTTCCTTCAACCAAACAGTGAATGAAAGTGGTGCTGTGGAATAAGAATAGTGGTCTTCCTTACAAGTACAATTAAAGCATTCAGTGAAATGAGTACAATGAATCATGCATAGTGATGTGTACTTGAACCAAAATATAGCAGTACACAGGACTAGAAGTATATAATGTACCATGAGAAATAGTGATGCACTAGTCATCCGAAATATAAAGTATATAGGTTTTTGAATGTGGGTGAAATCGATTCAGTGAAATTTGAATAGTGGTGCTTCATTGAACAAAAATATAGTATATGGTTGTGCGAGTGGGACCGGTACAATGCAATATGTGATGCACTATTGAACCAATTCATAAAGCACACAGGTGTGGTAGTGTGGGTGAAATCTATCAAAATATAATTAAATTGGAATTGGGAATGAAATCGGTACTGTGACATAGAAATAAGTGGTCTTCATTGAACCTTATGCGAGTGGAACCGGTACAATGCAATATAAGATGTACTATTAAACCAATTCATATAACATACAGGTGTGTGAACATTGGTGAAATCTATATGAATAGCAAGGAAGAAACTGGAATAGTGAATAATATCGGTAATATGAAATTCAAGAGGTAATCAGTACAGTGAAATTTGAATAGTGGTACTTCATTGAAAAAAGTATTACAGTATACTTATGCGAGTGGATATCTGAGGTCTTACTGAACCAATTTATAAAGTATACAGGTGTGTGAACGTGAGTGACATCGACATGAATTGCAGAGTTATTAAGCCGAAACTGTGAAATAAATCTGTACTGTGAAATAAAATAGTGGTCTTCATTGAATTATGTTATGGGAGTGGAACCGGTAGAAAGCAATAGTGAGATACACTATTGAAACCATTCATAAAGCATGCAGGTGTGTGAACGGGGTGAAATCGAAATGAATGGCAAGGTATAAAGTGAAATTTTGAATGGTATCAGTACTATGAAATAAGAATAGTGGTCTTCATCGAACTATATCGCAGAGTACAGTTGATAGAAATGAGTTAAATACGTACACTGAAATGTGAGTCGTGATTTGCTCTTAAACCAATATATAGCAGTATGCAGGGGTATAAATGAGCTTCTGGGTAAAATCTACTATGAATAATGATGCACTGGTCATTCAAGAGATAATCTGTACAGTGAAATTTGAATAGTGGTGCTTCATTGAACAGAAGTATTACAGTATAGTTATGCGAGTGGAACTGGTATAGTGGATTAACTGAGGTGTTACTAAACCAATTTATAAAGTATGCAGGTGTGTGAACATGAGTGAAATATATATGATTTGCAAAAAGTTATTAAGCCGAACCAGTGAATGAAATTGGTACTGTGAATTAAGAATAGTGGTCTTCATTGAACTATGTTGGCGAGTGGAACCGGTACAATGCAATATGTGATGCACTATAAAAACAACTGGTTAAACATACAGGTGTGTGAAATGGTGTGAAATCAATATGGATGGCACGGAATAAACCGGAGTTGTGAATGATATCAGTACTATTCAATAACAATAGTGGTCTTCATTGAACTATATCGCAGAGTACAGTTGATAGAAATGAGTTAAATACGTACACTGAAATGTGAGTCGTGATGTGCTCTTAAACCAACATATAGCAGTATGCAGGGGTATAAATGAGCTTGTGGGTAAAATCTACCATGAAATATGAATAATGATGCACTGGTCATTCAAGAGATAATCGGTGCAGTGAAATTTGAATAGTGGTGCTTCATTGAACGGAAGTATTACAGTATAGTTATGCGAGTGGAACTGGTATAGTGGATTATCTGAGGTGTTACTGAACCAATTTATAAAGTATACAGGTGTGTGAATGAGTATCATCAATATGAATTTCAAAGAGTAAAGCTGAAACGGTGAATTAAATTGGTACTGTGAAATAAAATAGTGGTCTTTGCTAAACTATGTTATGCGGGTGGAACTGGTACAATGCAATATGTGATGCACTATTAAAACAACTCGTAAGGCATACAGGTGTGTGAACGTGGGTGAAATTGGCAAGAATGGCAAGGAATAAACTGGAGTTGTGCGTTGAATGAAACAAGTGAAATACGTACACTGAAATGCGAGTTGTGATGTGCTCTTGGCAGAATGGCAAGGAATCAACCGGAGTTGTGCGTTGAATGAAACAAGTGAAATATAGTCCCTGAAATGGGAGTTGTGATGTGCTCTTAAACCAACATATAGCAGTATGCAGGGGTATGAGCTTGTGGGTAAAATCTACCATGAAATATGAATAGTGATGCACTGGTCATCCGAGGGATAAAGTAGACAAGTGTTTAAATAGTTATGCGGGCGAAATAGGTACAGTGAAATTCGAATATTGGTGCTTCATTGAACCAAAGTATTACATTAGACAGTTATGCGAGTTTAACTGGTATAGTGGAATAAGTGATGCATTATTTAACCAATTTATTAAGTATGCGGTGTGTGAACATGAGTGAAATCGATATGATTTGCAAAAAGTTATTAAGCCGAACCAGTGAAATAAATCGGTACTGTGAAATAAAATAGTGGTCTTGATTGAACTATGGTTAGGGAATGGGAACAGGTACAATGCATATGTGATACACTATTGAAAACCATTCATAAGCATGCAGGTGTGTGAAACGTGGGTGAAACGCGATGAATGGCAAGGAATAAAGTGAAATTTTGAATGGTATCAGTACTATTGAAATAAGAATAGTGGTCTTCATCGAACTATATCGCAGAGTACAGTGATAGAAATAAGTTAAATACGTACACTGACATGTGAGTCGTGATGTGCTCTTAAACCAATATAGCAGTATGCAGGGGTATAAATGAGCTTGTGGGTAAAATCTACCATGAAATATGAATAATGATGCACTGGTCATTCAAGAGATAATCGGTACAGTGAAATTTGAATAGTGGTGCTTTATTGAACGGAAGTATTACAGTATAGTTATGCGAGTGGAACTGGTATAGTGGATTATCTGAGGTGTTACTGAACCAATTTATAAAGTATACAGGTGTGTGAATGAGTATCATCAATATGAATTTCAATGAGTTAAGCCGAAACAGTGAATTAAATTGGTACTGTGAAATAAAATAGTGGTCTTTGCTGAACTATGTTATGCGAGTGGAACCGGTACAATGCAATATGTGGTGCACTATTAAAACAACTCGTAAGGCATACAGGTGTGTGAACGTGGGTGAAATTGGCAAGAATGGCAAGGAATAAATTGGAGTTGTGCGTTGAATGAAACAAGTGAAATACGTACACTGAAATGCGAGTTGTGATGTGCTCTTGGCAGAATGGCAAGGAATAAACCGGAGTTGTGCGTTGAATGAAATAAGTGAAATACGTACCCTGAAATGCGAGATGTGATGTGCTCTTAAACCAACATATAGCAGTATGCAGGGGTATGAGCTTGTGGGTAAAATCTACCATGAAATATGAATAGTGATGCACTGGTCATCTGAAGGATAAAATAGACAAGTGTTTAAATAGTTAAGCGGGTGAAATAGTTACAGTGAAATTCGAATAATGGTGCTTCATTAAACCAAAGTATTACAGTACACAGTTATGCGAGTGGAACTGGTATAGTGGAATAAATGATGCGTTATTTAACCAATTTATAACGTATACAGGTGTGTGAACTATAAAGTATACAGGTGTGTGAACATGAGTGAAATCGTAATGATTTGCAAAAAGTTATTAAGCCGAAACAGTGAAATAAATCGGTACTGTGAATAAGAATAGTGGTCTTTATTGAACTATGTTATGCGAGTGGAACCAGTACAATGCAGTATGTGATGCAGTATTGAAAGAACTTGTAAAGCATGCAGGTCTGTGAACGTGGGGGAATTGCAAGAATGGCA